AGAAGGATGTTTTACACCGCATGTATATTCAAGGACACGAAGAAAAATTACAGTTATTCTATATACCGAGGGAAATGTACGTCAACTACAATCCAACTTTTTAGTAAACAAAAATCGATGTTACTGTTGTTTTTATACACCGTTGAATTATTGATTTCCTGCTATTGAATCTCATAATTTCATAACGATCACCGCCTACCTGGTCACGGAAATGGTTTCAAATCTATGTTTAGAGGCGGCTGGTAGAAATAATGCCTTCAAGGATAGTTTCAAAATTAACCGAGCAGGGACAATTTTCATTATCTAGGAGGTATTCTAATAAATGCGAGGTCGTTTTTTCTTCACGACTCGGTTGTTACAAGCAATTTTTGATAGAAAAGAAGCACTTCCCTGATGAGTATTGTTCCTCCTTTGTTCAATCTTGTTATTCCCTTTACCGCAATATCGCTCTGTTGTGCACACATTTCCACATGCTTCTAACCTGCATCGTTCTTCTGTTCTTTGTATGTTTTTAATTTCACACAGCATGGCATTGACATACTTTTCTAGCATGAGGGAAGTTTTATTCCTTTCGTTTATTGGAAACTTTAATTCTCCTTCCTTTCTGGGTTTCTATGTCAACTTAATTATAAAGATGTAACAACGTTTAATATAAGAAGGAATACAATTTAACATAGTAACATAACACGGTTAGCTTTGTAATACAACCCGCTTGTAAATCATCACGCCAAGTACGATTTTGTGGAGTAGGAATGCATTTACTATCTTTTAGTCTGGAAGCATACGCGAATGAAATGTCTTTCAGTGAAACGGTATTGGCAGCTGCTAGAAAGGCGCCATTAGGATCTATGGTGACACTTCTATATCGAGCATTCTCGCGGGGTGCCCTGGAAGAGAGCATTAACCATGCTTTGGGTGTCTTCTCGGGAATTGATTCAAGGTTGATTGAAAAACCTGTCCGTTGCTTGGAGCGTCACTATTATAATTGTATCCATGTTCGTTGATAATTTAAAACCAGTTCAGGCTCTATTCGCACCTCCAACATGTCAAATATCACATGGAACTGGTAAAGAAGCGCATATCAAATGATACTAGTTGTCAAACTTAAAGACAAAGTTGAGTTCTGGTCACGCGATTGCATTGTGAAAGAAACGGTGTTGTATCTAAAGAGAAATGTTGCAATATAATGGATATACAAATAATTCGATTGCCATTTCCCCCTTCTTTTCCTTTATGAAATCTGCGAGGAGGGGGGGGGGGGTTGCCTCTTGCCCCCTCTTTAAATACGCTAGTCGTTGCAATATTTTGATAACCAGTCGTTGAATGTGAGATTTTATCCTTCCCATTATCGCAAAGCACAGTCTATAGACGGAATATTGATGTTTTATTATCACATATACAGAAATGCACATCCGGGAGGTTTTGGGGCACGAAAACCCCCCTTCCCCGCTCGAATCTGGTTTACTTTAAGTAAACAAATAACACCCCCATCCTTCCCCCTTCTCCAATTGACGATTTTAGTCCAGAAAGAAAGTAATATTCCAAATAATAATTCATTACATTATGCCTCATTCTAAATTAAAACACAATAAACAAAACTAATATTTTACAGTTCGAAGAACATTTGATAAACGCTTTGCCTTTAAAATCTGTATCCATCAAATGTGTCACCGTTTTGCACCATGTATGAGTTAAAATGACAGCCAAAGTGGGGATGTCTCAAAAGACCAATTGCCCACGACACAGACAAAGCTGATCGCGTGAACCAAAAAAAAAAAAGCCCATGAGACTATTATATCAATTTCGTGGGCAGTTTGTCTATTGGGCCGTGCGAGCCATGAACCTAGATCATAATAACCTTTACAGCCGTCGCATTTAAAGACTTGTTTTGCTCCTTCTGGAATCCTTCTTTGAGATGATTTTATTCTGCCAACCAGTATGATAAGCCAGTAATCTACTGGTTATTCACCTCAGATGTTTTTCTTTATATTACTTTGTTTTATTTTATTTTTTCGTTTCTCTTTGCTTTGCTAATTTGATTGATTAGGCCGAACTGAAAGAGACAGAGACCGATTAATGCTGTAAACAATAGCAGGAATCAATCACTTTTCTCAAAAAGAAAAAAGCGTATTCTATTCGTGTATACGTGACCTTAATGACCAAAACAATCCCTTATGTATTCCCATGGCCTTATTGGCATGGACATGGAATAGGCGAAATGATTCAGATAAACGTACATATCCTGTTCGGATACGTGACTATAATGACAAAAACAATAGTCTTCGTATTTCCTGTAGTAGGCTCTGAGAGGAAGCAGGGGAAATGAATAAAGGGAAAATCCACCCAGATATTATCTTGGTTTTAATAGAAGCAAAAAAATGAGACAAGCAAATGAGTTAAAGTATAAGCAATATCCAATAAAAAAAAGAAGGAAATTCATGAATTTTAGAAGTTTTCATGAGTGAAACACGAAATGGCGAAACTGTGACGAATCTTGCGAGCTCCTTTCCCTTATTTGCTCTGTAAAGAAAAAAACCTATAATCTTTCCACTTTCTTAGTTATTGATGACGGAATAGAATTGTTTCATACAGGGGCATAACTTTCTTATTTTAATCGGGTTTTGCTCAACCCCTTCATTGACCGGTTTCTCTCATGTTTTGTTTCTATTCAAACCATTTTGATATCAGGCTGGACTCCCCCTTTGAGGAAACAAACTTTTGTACTTGCGTTTAGATCAAGTTGTCACTCACAAGAGCGATCCGTACATATTTCATGATTAGCTGATTGCAATAAGCAATATTGCCATTTTAGTATCCGGGCAACGTCAATCTTGATGGTTTCGGGTTTGTTGCGTGACCTATGATTGATAGAATATCCTTCAGAGAATAAAAGATGAAAGCGTGTTCCATCTCGATTAGTGCCCATGCATCATCCACATCTGTAGTGTATCCCCCGATTCACGCACAGATGATGAGGCGCAAGGGAATTTGCAGTAACGCTAATTATATCCGCGCCTCTGTATACAATAAATGCATGTTTTAAATTCATATATTGGCAATAGTATAAGTATTATTAGTAGCACTTACAGTAGTAAAAAATAGTTTTAGGTTTAGTAGCAGTAGAAGGAGGAGATAGAGGAGGAGTAGGTGTAGTAGGAGTAGTAGTGTTATTGTTGTTTTTGTTGCGGCTGTTGTTAAAAAATATTATTGTTTAATAATTTGTTTGATTTTATTTTAAGTCTTACAGAAGTAAAATTAGTAATAATAATAGTAGTAGTATGAGGAAGAGTAGGTGTAGTAGGAGTGTCAGTAGTGTAGTTTTTTGTTTTTGTTGCGGCTGTTCTTAAAAGGACTTGGTAACATCGTTCAGATGAGAAAAAATGAGGCTAAGGTAGTGACTTCAATGCTTGAAAAACTGATCTGATCGATTCCTTAATTCTCCCAACTATACTATTACCATTTAATTACATTTTAGGAGAATTTAGATCGCCACAAAGCAATGAATTTGCTCTTTATATTCATTCCAGACATTTTAGTACTGAAAGATGTTTTAAAGCCTGTCTTATGTCTTATTTTCATGGAAAAACCGTTGGGAAAATTCAAAAATGGTTGGGACAATTTACTGTTGGAGGGTGTCGCACAGTGACGCCTTCAAAGAAACCATAAGTATCTTTGTAATTTGAGAACTTGTTGAGGATTTTGTGCACGTTAGAGGGTCAGTATAGTAAAAGGAATATAATGAATAAAATTTCACACACAAATCACGCAGTTTTATCATCAACATTCATCAATGTTACCGAGTCACTTTAACCCTAATAAGGCCGGAGGGGGGGGGGGCATCATGGCCTCCCCCCTCCACAATTTTTCTGATTATTCGGGAACGCATATCGATGGCGCCCCGCCGCTCGCTGAATTTTTTCTTTCGAGTCTTGCGCAACTTTTAAAAGAATTTTTTTGAAAATTGGACCTACGGTTACAAGGTCACGTGACCTTTTGTCTTTGCATGTCAGCCCGAAAATCGCTAATTTTCGTGATTTGTGTACAAAACATATGGAAAAGTCATTTTTCTTAAAATAGATCAAACATGGGTTATTGGGTCTTTTTTAAAGATTAGTTGGTTGTTTTGGGAGTCAAAATAGTTGAATTGTAGTTAGAATTGAAATAAAACAACAAAAACAATAAAATTCATAAGTTAAAAAAACAATGAAATACATAAGAAATTATCAAAAAGAAATAAGAATAATTATTATTCAGAATGGTCTAATGAATATATGTAGTGAAAAAGAATGCTTAAATATGAATAATATACGATTAATGGGTAAAAATGTGATTTTTATGACCGTATTTGCATAAATTACCATAAATATGCAAATGAGTGAATTTTTCAAAAAATTGAAATTATCATATTATTCTATACACTTCACTTGACATACGTGCAAATTTTTGCGGAGATCGGCCACTTCACGGCCGAGATCTTATGGGGCCGTACTAAGACCTCAAATAGCCCGGCCTTTTTAGGGTTAAATAATAACAATAATAATCGGCTTTTATATAGCGCTTAATACATCTCGGACGTCTCTAAGCGCTTTACAGATATATTATTACCCCGGTCATTGGATTCAGTGCTTGCCCACACACAATGTGTGCACGATCTCCACTCCCAAGGGGGCATTCCAACAAGGCGTTACTTGACGCTCAAAAACTGTTTGACCAACAATGAAAGTATAACTGTTCGTTTGTTTGATTGATTTTTGCATTTTCCACGATTATCGTCCTTGTTATCTTTTTTTGAACGTCAGTAGTCGGCTACCGGCAGTATCAAACGCCCTATAAACGCGGTGGCATTAAGCCTCCTTCCCACACATTTTGGAAATCCTTCACTTGTATGTCCCTGCAGTTTTAATATATCTGCTTCTAAAAATATATATATATTCGTAAAAAATCGAATGTAAATTTGTGTTAATTATTTTTTATAGCACTCTATCTTGTTATACTTACAGCTCTTTCATGTGGAATAAGCCTGTCTGAATGGCATAATGATCTCATCGAATGTGAACCTGGTTCAGGCTTCTTTCCATGTGGCAACCTCACTCAATGTGTGGCTCAGCAGTTCCAATGCGATGGCATCGAACATTGCCCAAACGCAGCTGACGAAACAGGCTGTGGTAAGTTAATAGATGTTGTATCATCTCGAAATATTTATTCGTATTTCTTTTTTTTCTTTTTGTTTAAATACATCGTTATTCTACATGTTATAGATATATTCCACTACATTAAGGTGGAACGGGAAATTAATGCTACGCAAATTATTTATCACATAGATTTTTGGGTGAGCCATTAAATTTCGCACGCCCTGATATTCAGTTGGTTTTAATAAAATAAAAATAAAAAGCTTAAGAATAAGAGAAGCAGACCAGTGAAAATCAGAGCAAAATCTGATGAAGATTAGAAAGTTACACATTCATGAAGTTGCCATAGCTATAAAAAAACAGAGTGGCAACTCTTTAACTTATCTCGCGAGCTCCTCTTCAAATTGCTCTATAAAGAAAATTTAATTAACTTTCCTTTTCTTAGCTATTGATGACGAAATAGATTTGTTTCATGCAGGGGTTGTAAACTAACATATTCGCAATAATTACATTTAAGTTGAATGTATGATTAAACATTTTCTAAAGGGAAAATATAATTTTTTTGAAGCTTTTAACTACAGGGCAAGTTTGAGGGAAGCTCGCAAGATGCGTAAAACAACATAAGTGCCAATTTGTGTTTGATTGATCGCACCTTCAACAATTCATAACTTCCCTACTTTTAATCGGGTTTTGCTCAAACATTCACTGACCTGTTTCTCTCATTTTTCTGCTACCATCAAAACCACCTTAGTATCAGATGGACTTCCCCTTTAACTATTAATGCCCACCCAGTAGGTATTTAAAACATGTTTACGCATCAAGTGTCGTTTTCTCTTACCCCTCTCAGTCAGTGTGGTCTCAAAGTGCTTCCGAAAATCGTCCCTTAGGGCAGTTCCAATGTGCATCACATACTTGATTACCATTACCATTTCAAACAATCCCCACGTGGTGTCGCTTGGCCATATTGATAACGGAACATTATCAATTATTGATGGCCATTTATTTTGTAAAACTGTTATGCTGAATGAAGGAAGATAGCAAGGGAATAATTCGTTGTCACTATTGTTACGCCTAGAGTGTCTCTCTCATATATCTTTCGGGTCTCTCTCTCTCTCTCTCTCTCTCTTTCTCTATTTCTCTCTCCGTCCCCCTTCCTCATACTGACTCTATTCCATCCGATCTCTCCTCTTTTATTACTAAGGCGTCCTGAGAATTAGGATCCATCGTGCATTATAAGAAGAATAACTGTGCTGCAAGTTACTGACCCACCGGGATATGTGCAGTCATGGCGATGGCCGTTGTGCGCGAACAATTAATTATTAACAAGTAACTGTCTTCATTTACTACTACATAGATATAGATTTTCGAAAAGTTGTGAGCCCTTTCCAGCGTAAATTTGAGACAAAAAATCCTTCTAAAGCTGGTTTAAAAAACATAATTTATTATTACACGACGTATAAGAGGGCTTGCGGTTTTCACTCTCCGTAAACTAGAACATTTTCAGATAATCATGATATTCAGTCAGTATGCTACACATGTAGTGGGAACGTGACGCCACTTAAAGACTAATGATTCCATTACCCCGTTACTCGCCAAAAATACGTGGCAAGAATGATCTTTGCATGACCTTTTTTCTATGTAAGTTCATCTTACGGTCTTTCAATCTACTCCAAATTTATTCTACTGTCGAATATTATCTATCCATGGTTCTTAGGAGCAAGGAGAGTATGAAAATAATATGATAAATGATAATGATAAATGTAACTTATATGGCGCCGAATCCACTCTATGGAGTGCTCAAGGCGCAAGTAGAAATAAATAAGAGTTAAACGGAAATGTTTTACATAAATTTTAAAGTCAATATAGGTTATACACTTTTTAATGTCTTCTGTAAGGGAATTCCATTTTAGGTCGGACACGCGAGAGAAAAGAATCTTTCCCCCAAGTTTTTGCAACTTTAGGAATCACAAGGGCACCGGAAGTGGATGAGCGTACAGATCTCGCGGTGGTGAATTTTGGATTAAAGAAACATTGTATTGGGGAGCAGAACCGTGAATGCAGTGAAAAGTGAGCAACAAACGCTTGAAAATGATTTGTTTTGTTATCATAGGTTTTTATTCTCTATAACTAAGTGACGAGATCGCGATGAAAATCACATATATTCGTTAAAAAAAAAAACCGCGTTATTTGTACATTATGAGAAGCTCACGATTTGAGGCGAATCGGTTTAATTGGTTGCTGCATCCTATATTGCCTATATGACTTCATGGGCAAATAAGTACATAATTGATAAATTTGTAAGAAACATATTCACTTTAATAGAAACATGCATAAACAATAGCTGCGTATAAACTTAAAGTAGATGAGTCTACTAGCTTAATAGATGGAAAAGTGGTTACGATTATTAACCATTTCCCACTAATCATGTATGTTTTTTCAATACAGAGTCTTTACACTTTCAGTGAAAAAAATATTCAGATATAATAAGTCTTTAACATTCAGTGTGAATCTAGATTGAATTTGTGAGAGTGTTATCCTGTCATTTCTAGAATTCAAGATTGCCTAAGTAGAAGCAACGACATGGACACTCCTTAGGGCCAATTATTGTCACTTGGATAATGATGAAGGAATATGTAATTTGTTGTGCAGCCATCCGAATAATTAACCAACTCGCGATATGTAATGTATTGTAATAATACGAGTCTGTTTCGCTGATCTATTGATCTTGACGCAGTGTGGGCGATTGTGGGTGTGAGCTGCGCGCGCGTGCGTGGACGTGGCAATTTGAAGATGCCTGGATTCAGCAATAATGCAAACATGGTAGACTGACTACATATTAATGATACTACTATATTCCCACCGAGACCTTTCACTGCTTTTATAAACATAAAACATCATAATTCCTTTGAAATGCCGAAGATAATCTTGCAGATTCATGTCTTACGAAATATCTCGACGTCACTACATAGTATATTTCACGAACAAAGTAATACACGCATCGTTTACCCTGAAGCTAAATCGTACGTGAATGGAGATTATTTCACCAAAAAGGTAAAAAGGCGAAATTTCTAGTAATGGGGACTCATATTTTGTATGATTACGAAACATATGAAAGTTATTTTACTTTGAACAGAGGTTTGTTCGAATTTGTAAAGAATATAGCCAGCTGCCCGGCCCTATAATACCAGCATTTTTTCAAAGGGCATCCTGATGACATAGTGTTGTTCTGAATGATTAAGAAACAATTCGGATTGGATTGGATTTAAAAGTTGTCGAAATACTGGAAGGATAATCTTTATTCATGCATATACAAATATTGTGGATCAAAGAGTGAAAACAAATTAAAGAAAGCTTATAGACCAAATTAGTTAATTAGGTAGACGATATACCTTTTAACATTTTAACGTTAAACCTATTGATCGTCGTACTTTACTCAATTAGTACTTGATTTAGAGTCCCACGAAAAAAGTAATATTTTGAGCTACTTATTATTTTTTAATATCACGGCCAGGGCTCGTTCACAATCATTCGAGTTCAGAAGACCTTTTTACATCAATAGCACAAACTCTGCAGTTCATATATAAATATCTGCCGGCGAATTAAGATTTCCGATCTAGAGTACAATTCCAACGTTAACATGTGAAATTACCAATACTTCTAACGTAAGAAGGGGACAGCCGTTGTATATGTGCATATATATAGTATAGCTATATCTTAGCACATGGTAGATGCACTAACACTGGTTTGAAATCAATATGTATATCAAGAATTTCCGACCGAAATGTTATACGTTGGTTTTAAGGAAATATTTTATTGATAACATTTAATCGATTGTGGTTAAGGTCATTTTTTGTTATAAACATAGGTTCCTTGCATGTTGTATATCTGAAATGACAGTAATCTGACGACAGTTTAAGTTTTAACAAAACATCATTCATCACAGTATGGTCTGTCTTGATTATGATCATCCCTGCTTTCGTTTGGGTTTTTCAAAGTTTCTGTCCCTTGCACTTTCAATAATATGAATGGACCCTCTCTTTGTAGTTCTAATGTAGGACTTAAAAAAAGAACAAATACTCCTTACGAATCGTGTTCTACTCCAAATAGTATATAGGAAATGTATTTATATATAGCCCTTTGATTCAATACTTACCAATATTTTCATTTCCTCTGAAATAAGTACAATGGAAAGAGGCAGCTGCTTTTTATATAATGTATTTATTTGACCACAGAAGATCAGGAAGAGTTGAAGGACATGTCCGATGTCGATGTCCAACTTCCTTAAAACCTTACTGGGCTAGTTGTCAACTCATTACATGAGTTATCAAATAGACTTTGCCATGTTTTTAATTTCAATATGAGCTCTGCTTTGCGTACTTAGTGCATTGATTTACGGATCGAACTCTCAAAGTGTCAAACTCTCAATTCTGTACAATAAACACAGTGAAATAACGTTATAAATCAATATTATGATCCTTTCTCCACTGAAAGTATAGGTAGAAATTATCCGTTTGATTTTCTAGGCCTTAATGAAATGTGGGAGCTTACGTCGGTTCCCCTTCGCCCCGCCCAGCTATAAATACGCCACTTATTGTTCTAAAAACTGTTTTTATTCAGCTATCGACGACGGGTGGGTTAATCAGTTCGACTATCGGCATCCAATTTTTGTGACAGAGTTTGAACCGGCTAACATGGTCAACGCTTGTGGTAAGTCTGAATCCATTCATATTATTCTTCATAATCATCATATTCATGGTACCCGCTGCATACATTGATCTTTCATCCCATATTTCTACCCCATATGTCCCGATGCGATGCAATAGAGAACAAGATGGACACTTATCTGGAACTGGCAGGTCATTCACCTATGTTCTCTACTCTCTCCATAAAAAGCAGGATTTTTTCCAAATGAAGTATTCCATTCAAGAAATACCCACCTGATTATGAAAAGCATGAGAAGGGTAACAAAGAGAACTTGATTGGATGATTTGAGAGCCCACTGTCTTTAAACATGTTTAAAAAACGTTGACACTAAACACCACGTGCATGAACTATGCCCCCACCACTCCTTAAAAATTAGACACGATTCCCCCTGGAATATATATGAATGTATTGTATTAGTCAAATGTATGTTAATTTCACAAATGAATAATAAATAGATAAATAAATAGACAAATAAATCAATGAAGGTGTATTTGATTAATTCAATGCGTTTACATTTTGCCAATACACGTCAGAAATATATGCTACCTCTTCCACAACAGCGTTGCCGTATTATCCAGAGTTATGCAGATGCAACAAGCTTACGCAGCTCGATTGCTCTAACCTTAGTATGACAAAAATATCCCGTGATATTCCTTCAAATGTCACCAGACTGTAAGTACATCGCCCACTTTTACTTTACTTAAATTTCATTCCATTTCATTATAGTTAATATAAAAAAAATCAGGTTCGGTGTAATAATAAATATTTATATTCTTTTAAAAAAAATGCATAAAACATCGTAAAGCTTTGTTGGGTAATTCGAAGAACAGTCAATTTTGGTTAAGACAGTAGTAGAATAAGTCATATCTTGTTTTCAGAGTGAGTGTCCATTTTTGGTAAAATCAAAATTACAAAGAGGTACACATGATTAAGGAATTCTGTAATTTGATAACCCTTTTAACATATCTTCGTCGTACAGGGGCATTTACACTGTCTTCCAAACACGCCAAAAAATGCCAAACCGGAGCCTGGCCGCGATGTTTCCAAGGGCAACTACGCTTTACCGGCAGAAACGCCAAGCCCCAAACATTCCAAAACGAAGTGTGATCTTTTGGCGTGTTTTGGCGTGTTTTGGCTTGTTTGGCAAGTATAAACGCTCGCAGTTGTAACATCGCGATGTTAGGTAAAGTGACTTGAGGAACGGGGCTAGATGTCGTCCTTTTGAAGACAATGATAGAACTATTAATACAAAGAATAACATAAGAGAAGGTGACAGAAGGAAGAAACTAAGAATAACATAAGGATAGACAGAAAGAGAAAGTGATAGAAGGAAGAAACAAAGAATAACATAAGGAAAGACAGGAAGAGAAAGTGATAGAAGGAAGAAATAAAGAATAACATAAGGAAAGACAGAAAGAGAAAGTGATAGAAGGAAGAAATAAAGAATAACATAAGGAAAGACAGAAAGAGAAAGTGATAGAACGAAGAAACAAAGAATAACATAAGGAAAGACAGAAAGAGAAGGTGATAGAAGGAAGAAACAAAGAATAACATAAGGAAACACAGAAAGAGGGATTGATAGAATGATAAAAAAACAAAGAATAACATTAGAGAAGGTGATAGAAGGAAGAAACAAAGAATAACATAAGGAAACACAGAAAGAGATAGTGATAGAATGATAAAAAACAAAGAATAACATAAGAGAAGGTGATAGAAGGAAGAAACAAAGAATAACATAAGAGAAGGTGATAGAAGGAAGAAACAAAGAATAACATAAGGAAACACAGAAAGAGGGAGTGATAGAATGATAAAAAACAAAGAATAACATAAGAGAAGGTGATAGAAGGAAGAAACAAAGAATAACATAAGGAAACACAGAAAGAGGGAGTGATAGAATGATAAAAAACAAAGAATAACATAAGAGAAGGTGATAGAAGGAAGAAACAAAAAATAACATAAGGAAAGACAGAAAGAGAAAGTGATAGAAGGAAGAAATAAAGAATAACATAAGGAAAGACAGAAAAAGAAAGTGATAGAAGGAAGAAACAAAGAATAACATAAGGAAAGACAGAAAGAGAAGGTGATAGAAGGAAAAAACAAAGAATTACATAAGGAAACACAGAAAGAGGGAGTGATAGAATGATAAAAAACAAAGAATAACATAAGAGAAGGTGATATAAGGAAGAAACAAAGAATAACATAAGGAAACACAGAAAGAGGGAGTGATAGAATGATAAAAAACAAAGAATAACATAAGAGAAGGTGATAGAAGGAAGAAACAAAGAATAACATAAGGAAAGACAGAAAGAGAAAGTGATAGAATGATTAAAAAACAAAGAATAACATAAGAGAAGGTGATAAAAGGAAGAAATAAAGAATAACATAAGGAAACACAGAAAGAGAAAGTGATAGAAGGAAGTGATAAAGAATAACATAAGAGAAGGTGATAGAAGTAAAAACAAAGAATAACAAGGAAAGATAGAAAGAGGAAAGTGTTTGCATCGGAGTGCCGCGCATGCGCATTTCCAACTGAAACGCGCCAAAACATCTCTGAGCTTTTCAATCGGTGATGTTTCCGCACAAGTGTAAACGGCTGTGCGAAACATCGCGACTTTTCAAAATGAGGTATTTGACAGTATAAATGCGCCTGTATTCTCAGTCACAAAGTAAATTTTGAAACACTTTTATGTTTTTTTCCCCATATTGAATGTATGAATATTAAACTATTTAAAATCATTTATGTTTGAAACATACACTAGGAAAAACAAGGGTTTTAATACAGCATCTTATGATTTACACGTATTTTGAGCAGAAAAGGGCCACTCTGCTGTATTCCTATACTTACATTCTACTTTCGAAAATATTTTATATCTTTTGATCGTAAAACATTTTCAGCAAGTTTATTCGTTATTTTAACTAATTTCACTAGTATTTAGTATCAATATTTAGTATTTAAAATGTTAAGTATGTTAGTTTTGTATCACTTAAAGAATATTATGTTAAATTGGATGCGGGTATAGGTGTGTCAACGTTTCAAACCTTAGGCTTATAGTGCCAAACCTATGCGTGTTTTTCCATGCAGTATTATTGTATTTGTTTTATGATTGTAACTGCCTGTAGTCTACTGCTGTTGTTTATTCAGTCTAATATTGATCATACCATGTAATATAGTGAACCATACAGAAATGAATTAATGAATAAATAATAAGAACATGTGGATCTATTTCCACTGTCTATTTCCTGTGATACCGGTAATTTTCACACTTGTAAAGAAACTAATCAGCTTATACGAAAATCACATGATTTTGATTTTGATTTTATATAATTTGTGTGAATGATTTGTACATGTATGCTCAAAGTTATTGGGTAAATGAGTGTGATATGACTTTCTCATTATGATTGAGTACCAATATGTTGTATTGGTAATTGCCCTTCAACCACATAACAATGTATTACTCCTAACAAGGCAATATCCTACACCTTATATCTTATTGGCAAAGAAGTTCGTAGTGGAGGAAGTGACCTTCATTACAGATATTCCTTTTACATCTCATTCAATTGTCCTTTTCCTCCAGCTACCTGAAATTTAACAGCATAGAGCGTATTGATAGTTCGACATTTGCACCAATCCCGTCGCTTGTCTATCTGTAAGTAACTTGAAATCATTCTCTTGTCAGTAACTCAATTTTCCTAAACGCTATCAAATTAATGACCGCGCCTGATTAATCCCGAGTTTAAAATGCGGATACTCTAATGACAGGCCTGAAGTGTTCCACGGTATGCATTACACATTCATATTCTCATGGTCATCAACCCCAGTGACATATCCAGAAATTTACCTCGGGAGGGGCTTGAAATTACGGAAACCAATTTTTAGAGGTCTGGATTGCGTTACAGACGAAGGGTGGGGCGGTGGTATTTTGGGACGAAAGATATCTTTGTTGTCCTGAGCGAGGCGGGAAGATTCGCCGCTAAATCACTCGTAGATTAGAATGTGTTTATGTGAGTTTCTCTTTACATTGACTTACCAATTCCCAAGCTCGTCAACTAGTAGCATATAAAAGAGGATGTATGTTTCCGAAAATCTCTCAAGAGAGAGAGCCACCCCAACCCCCCAACCCCCTCCCCTCCCCTGCTGCTCCTCAAAATACCCCAGAGAATAATTATAAGAAGAGATACCGGTACATGCTTTGTGTGCAGGATTTAGTAAATAAAAGAAGTGTTATCGAGCCATCTATGTAATACTCACTCATGTGCATAACTCTCTGCAACTTTTGTGCTAGGAAAATTATGAGGATTTGGGGGATAATTTATTTTTTGCGGAGGCGGCGAGGGGAATGATAATCGCTTTTTTTTTTTTTAAAGTCGTGGATAATCACAAAGGAATAAAACAATTAAAAACAAATACTTAAATATGAAAAAGATATAACGAGCCGCCTGCAAAACAAATCATGCCTTCTGATGATAACTGTCAGATTACTTATAATCCGAGGAGCAGGGCCCTCGAAATCTGACATTTATCATACATAATCCATCTATTTTGTCCTATGCCTTATCCCATATTTTAAGTTTGTTTAAATATTTCTCGACATTCTGCTCATGAAATCGATCAATTTGAAAGGAAGAAAATGTAAACCTTCTTTCTGAATACTAAATTGAGAGTTATGTTAACAGCTGCACTGCTAAAGCCAGGGTAATTATGCTGCATTATTGTAGAGCGCTTAGAGACTTCTGACAAAGTAAGTGTTAGGCGCTATATAAGCACTGTAATTATTATTATTATTATTATGTTAGTTAATCGCATGATAAAATAAATTTAGAATACGAAGTGGTAAGTTCATGCCACGTGTAGTTCTAAAACGTTGATAATTGGAATGCAACTGAATTTCTAATTACAAAACACCTGAAGTCATTAATAACGATTAAACCTTGTTATTACGAATATTTCGATAGATTGTGATGTACAATGTCTCAGTAAAGAGATAATCTTTAAACTCCTCATTTTTTGGTTCATAGTGTTTTGTTTTTATTTCACCATCTTCACTTTCTGTTTTTCTTTTCCCTCTTTTTTGTATTTCCCCTTTTCTTCTTTTCCTTTTTATTTGTATTCACCTTCTTCTTCTTCTTGTTCTTCCTTTTCTCCTTCTGTGCTTATAGAAATTTGATGGGAAATCGGCTACGTGAAATACCCGCGAATTCTTTTCATTATCTTCACGAGCTCACTACGCTGTAAGTAACAAATGCTGTTTTATTCATGTGGTAGCTTCATAACAAATATGCAAAGAGATAGAAACTCTTGTGATTAACTGACCGAATCTGATCTTGATATATTTGTATGAATCATTATGACCATTTATTGCTTGCGAAATTGTAAACAACTATTTATCATTTTGAATAGATATGACATTCAAAGAACTTTTACAAATACAATCGTAAGTTTCTTCTCTCGCGGATTTGTAGAGATTCAAGCTCTATGTCGCTCTTGCATTTTTAGATAAGTTGCAAAAAATTAATTTGTCTTTCCAGAACCATTAAAGTTAGTTTTCAATAATTTCTAGCAATCACGCACAGGAAGGGTGATTTTAACGGATTAAATATGTCAACGATGGATGACTACCGGACAATCACGAACCATGACTTAACCTAGATCCTTGCTGATGTTTCTCTGGATCCTTTCAAGAGTTTTGATGATGTTGACTTTGTTTTGCTTTGCAGTTACCTATCTGAAAACAACATAACCATCATTGAAAGAGGAGCATTTCTTGGTCTCCATGGACTTCATTGGTTGTAAGTTTCGTTTCCACCTTAAAGCCACCTTCCCATATGACCCGGTAAATATCACCTTAAAAGCGGACCCCCCCCCCAAAAAAAAAAAAAAAAAAAAAAAAAAAAATACACCCACATAAAAAACAAATATACTATAACATAGTACTCGAGAGCTCCACAGTTTTACATCTATAAACAAAAATAGATAAGCAAGTTCGCTGTTGAGCCTGTGTATCTAAAGACACTTATCTTCTAAAGACATATAACATAAGAAACCTCCTACGTAAACCACTGCGGTTTACCGCTTAAGTGTGAAATATCCTTTAATTTGCATTGAGTAATTATGTTACTTTTACCATTTACCTTTTAAATGTATGTTTTTAACCATTTTAACAATAAATCTGCGCACTATGACAAGGCAGAACACAACATTTCCCACAAACCCTCCTGTACACAAAATGAACAACAAAAGTCAGCTATAGAAAGCTGTCACCTGTGAGATTGGAAGCAAATTAGTTTACAAATGTTCCGTTTACAAAGTGCAAAGTTACAATTATTTTTGTTAATTTTCCCCACAATACAGGTTTCTAAATGGGAATAAATTAACGAGTCTACAACCGGGAATGTTCACCGGGCTGAAGGACCTATACTGGTTGTAAGTTACTCGTCTATACAATTTGTTCATACCCCTTGTAAATTTGATGTTTTTGTAATTTTCATAACTCAAGTATAATAGGTAGATTGGTTGAATCAAGGATGTTGTTGAATACTTTCAGATGTAAGTTTTGATAAGTCACATTCTCAAGAAACAAAAAATGGGACTGATCAATTTGTTACGAACTTACCAAACTTCCTGAGGGTATGAATGATTTAGAAGTTTATTATGTATACTGTCAGATATTCCTGCTCAATGACGTTTTCTTCTATCTGAAAGAACGAATTTAAAAGAAATCCTTCGATGAGAAGGTGAGTCAATTCTTGATTGAGGAACACCGGTTTAGTATATAAACGTGTCTTTGAAGAAAGAAAAATCATGTTCATGTACGTTTCACAACGATTGGCTGATAGTCGCTTTCAGTTAAAATCATTATTTTTGATAACTACTTTATTCTTATCTTGAATGAGACTTAGGAAACTATAATTTCATTTAATAGGGATCATATCAGAGAATTTTTTTATAACTTGAAACATCTTTATTTTTATTGATATTAATAATTTTTAGTTAGTTTTAATTTGTTGGCACTTGTTTTTCTGATAAAAGATAGTGCAATGATTGCAAAGGGCTCATATGTCTTTTTGGAGGATTTGTTTGTAATCGTTTATTTTAAACACTGTTTACAATGTACCTCACCATACGTTTATAACATATCATTTCAATAGATGTTTTTTCAAGACATACGCAATGAATGTTCCGAATCATTCTCTGGGTAATTATACAAATATGGTTCCCTTTGGCATCTTCAAATATCATTTGTGTATTGATTAGGGGTCCAATAGAAAAAAAAATTGTTTTTCCCGAGAAAAAAAACGAATACAGGCTCTATTTCCCAAATCGACCATGTTTCAATAATACAAGAAAAATGGAACAGCAACCTAACTTCAAAATCTAATCATGATTAAACATATAGGACATTGTTCATTTGCACCGGATTTTCAGTCTCGTATTTGAATCGTTCGCATTGCTAAACTGAAAATCATCATATATGGCCCTTAAAGGCAAAGACCAGTTTGGAAATGCCCCCCTCTCAGAAAATGAAATGGAAGCTCTTATTACCAATCATGTGAAAGAATGTGTTTTGACTAATACGTGATGACACAAATTTTCCCGGGAAACCGTCTACTAATTGATATATTTGGTAAAAATAAAATTATTATCTATCCAGTCCGGATAGATAGTATAATTTATCGCGTAATCCCATATACATCTTTTTGTATGCAGTGCTTGTAAATTTTACCAAGACTGGGCCAAATTTCTTATCATTTTGATGATTCCAGAACCTTGCAGTACACACCAATACATATGATCAACCTTTTCTGATCGATTCCACAACGTTTCTCTCACAATGCAATCGCATGGCCAGAACTGGTCTTTACCTTTAACAGACAGGGAGACATTTTCTTTCACATATCAAAATAAGGGCGGACAAGTATGTGACCGCCCTACTTGCGTAGGTGAATAAAACGAGTTCATTTTCTTGTAAATTACTGATGTAAATCATCCAGTTAATCATCTGATTGGTAATTTCGAGTGAGACAATATTCACAAGGGCAAATCCATCATGATACCAGGTTAAAATGATCGGATCCGTGAACATTGTAGCAAAACCTGACAAATATGAAAGAATTTTCCAAGTTTAAATTAAAATTCATGATATTTTCAGTACAGAGCATATGAGAGAGGACGTCGCGAAATACGTCGAACCGTTGCATTATTCGTTTGATTGATTTCAACTTCAAAAACGCATAAATTCTTTATTTTTATGGGATTCTTCCACACTTTTTCTGAATTGGTTCTCTCAATTTTCTGTTTTTTTATTAAAATGAACTAGGTTGCAGGCTGTACTTTCGTTGCGATATTTGTTTGATTGATTACAACTTCAAAAAAGCATTACTTTCTTATTCGTATAGGATATCCCCCACGCTTTTACTGAATTGATTCTCTCAATTTTTCCTTTTTATTATTAAAATGAACATAGATATCAGGCTGTATTTTCCATAAAGTGAGTAGTTAAATATACTTAAAGAAACCTCACTCATTTTCTAGTATATTCTTCATAGTTGAAGATTTACCTGTATTCTTCTAATTGATGGGATTATTCGTCATACTTTTGATATGTTTGCAAAGAGACTTCTTTCATTTCAAAAGTAAAAATTCATGTCAGTCACCTTTGTGACCACACGAAGTAACGATTGAATGTCACTAAAAGATATTTTTTTTTTTAAATTCTACAGATGAACCAAACGTTATTTTATGTGACAAGACATTGACCTTATTTAACACCTGGTCAAAAAAGGACCAAAAATATGCTTATGCTTATTCAAGTGCCTGATATTCCGTTCACTTTGCCCTTTCAGATACTTCCAATTATGCCGAATGGACGGATACTCTTTCAGTATAGGCGATGGTCATTGTTAAAAACAAAGAAGCAATAGCGTGTGAATGAGGGTGTGCGCGAACGTGTATGTAGGGGAATGTGTGCGCGCGTGTGTGAGTGAGAGTTTGGATGGTTGAGCGTAATCCGCACTAAAAGCCTCAGCAGACAACCTGAGATTATATCAGGCAATAGCTCCATAGGGAGTACACATGTAACTACTTTTCTCTACCTATGTAATCCTTCTTTATTTCTTCTTTATCCTTTTCTCCTTCTTCTTCTTCTTCTTCTACACCTTCACCCGCTTCTTCTTCTCCTTCTTCTTCGTCTTCTTCTCCTCCTCCTTCTTCTCCTTATTCTTTTCCTCCTTTTCTTTTCTTGTCTTTTTTGTCGAATTTCTTGATTTATATCTCTTTCACCACCATCAGGGATCTTCGTAGCAATGAGATTAAAGACTTAAACCACGGTGCTGCACTCAGAGATTTACACTCCGTTGCATGGGTGTAAGTATTCTATTTTAGAATATCAAGTAGTCCACGCTAACCTTCAAACGACTATTACTTATTAGTCCACGTAGTTATTCATTAAAAATTTGATACTTGATCTTTAAATTTCCATTTCCCCCATTTCATACGCATTAAAAATTGCTTGGTAGAACATGACTGACGTGCTGTGTAATTTGTTTACTTGAATTAGAACAAATATTCAAAATATACAACCCAAAAAATGGTGAACTGGTTGAAGAAGAAAAAATTCAAATAAATGTAATTAAAGTGATTTCCGGCGTATTTTGGGAGCTGGATCTACTAATTGTTGGGATAAAAATATCAATTAAGGGTGTTTACTTTCTACAGAGAGATTATTTCCGCTTATAAGGATTTAATGAGGAGATTTTTTAGTTTTTGTCTAGGTAAGTAGTAGTACTCCACGTGTGGACTTGTTTTCGTCTACGGCAACGAAGGGGTGTTCCAAACCTCCAAATCGCGCCTTACAATATTAATTTCGTCTTTACCATAATATCTAGCCCTTTGAAGGAGTTAGGCATACACCTACACCGTCTTAATTTTGATTTTCCACCTATCCGAACCTTTTAGTTCTCCATTAATAAGCTTCGATTTTATCATTTCTTCTTGATATTTCCATCACAGTGACTTTGAAGGTAATGACATACGGTCTATCGAAGTGGATTCGTTTGCTGGAAACACGTCTCTAACAGTTCTGTAAGTCTGATCAAGAAAGCAATTGCGTCTTAACCTCTAAAACCTAATGGCCTTTCGAGAAATGAGGTTAGTGGATGGGACGGCACGTAAATTGGTGTGATTGATGGCTTACGTAACGGTTAGTTGGAATACGTGCTCTTTGAAAGAGATTCAAAGAGACAAGTGTTGAACAAAGGAGCCATCTAGACCGGTTTCTTCCTAAAAAATGAGTACCAGTGATAAATTATTCCAGAAAGGAAATATGAAGCGCCCTAGGGACGCATTATAAAATGGAAAGTGTGCTCCGGAGGGCATTTGATACTAACATGATTAAGGCAGGCGTATATATGCCGAGCTAGTTATGCTTGTCAACCAGAAAGTTTAATTTGATGTGGATCAGTAATCCCGCGTGAACAGATGATTATGACAGATTGGAATACGAGTGAGAAGCAACCTACTTTAGAAATTGCTTGTTTCCTTATCAGGAAAGATGGACTCTCCCGAAGGCCGGAAATTAAGTACCCTTATACAAGGATCTGTAACGTTCTGACGAGTTTCAGACGATTTCGTTTTTTTTCTTCAAGACGACAAATTGTACAATTACCTAGCAGCGGTTGGGATAGGAATAGGGGCAGTTGTGTTTTCAAGAAACGCTAATTACGTTACTTTTCATGTTGTCAGTGTTAATATTCACGTACATAAAATGAATAATAAAAATCTGTCCATACGCCTACATTTTAGGTCAATGAGAAGATCACGTATTCGTAATGTTAAATAAAATGACGTTGTAATGTACGACTTCGCTCCAGGTTATATCTCTTTTAATCTTAGTAATTGGCAAAATGTTACGCCTTTAAGGCTTTATGATTTTCTTTAAATATTAACAGCTTCTATAATTCTGAAGACACCTTACGCTTTCTTATATATGATGCAACAAACAGACAAACTGTTTTCGAATTATAGTCAGGTGACTCTGTACATGCTATTTGAATGAAACATTAGATATTTCCTGCCGAATGAAAGAAACTGGTTGCAATACGTTTTGCAGGTTCGATACCTGACTATTGAAATTCACACCGTTTTCATGATATTGAATAGTTTATCCCTATGTGTATGATTACTAGATCGCTCTAAATGCTGTACATTACAATTTCACATGTTTATCCATCATCTTATTTTATGCAGAGTGTTGAAAAATAACAGCATAAGCTCGATTGCAGAAAATGCTTTCAAGTCTCAGGAAACACTTATTGAACTGTGAGTAGCCCCTATCTCGTTACAAAAATTGAATTTGTTTGTTTTCTTTATGTTCTATTTTATTTATGTTGATAGGAATTGAGTTATATATCTTTTTAATTAGCAAATTGGTTCTACATGAACATCTTTCTTTAATTTCAATTGCATCGCAGATACAATATTTCTACCTGAAGTCAATATTTTATGTTTCATATATTCATTATGTGTTTCTGTAAATGAATGCATTGGTATTTATGTTTCTTTTTCTCCTCTTCTTTATACGCTTTTACTTTTTTCCGTTTTTTGTCTTCCTTCTCTACTTGTTCCTTCTTCTCCTCTCCTTTTTTCTTTTGTTCTACACTTCCTCTTCTTCTTGTTGTTATTCTACTACTACTACTTCTACTGCTAATAATCTTTATCTTTTTTTCATTTACAGTGATTTGTCTAACAATTACATATCGCATCTACCAATGGGAGTTTTTAACCACCTTCACCAACTTCAGATTTTGTAAGTATACTCAACAAATATCTTCTACCGAGAAATACTGTTCATTCTCGGAAATCTCTATTTCCTGCCCACAAGAAAGACATGATTTAGAATGGTTTTACTAATGTCAAATATTAGACGATAGTCACATTTTACATATATCTGACACTGAAATGTGAGCTACCGATACATACCAAAGAATAATAAAAATGGGACCTTCTGCCTTCTAGCTAGGCGCTCAGCATATTGGATTGGAGAAGAGTAGTAATAACATATTATGTTATGCAGGGCCCGCTGGAAGAGCAGTTTCCTAACTGAAGTGGCCACCCTGGGTAAATAAAACGTTATTATTATTATTAATAATTCACAATACCATATCCATCATATTGTCACTCCTGAATTTCAGTGTGCATTTGAGTTATATTCAAATGTCAGGAAAAATTTTTCGTCCATTTAGTGGCGATCACGTAGAAATTAACAGCTTTGCGCAAAGCGCCATATTATAGGAGGAAATAAAAGCGCGTCGTCGGAAATTAATGGGGCCCGTTTTATCTGTGGCAGAGTTGATCTGGTGAGAATTATAGAGATTGGGATGAGTGCGGACGCCTTTTTCTCTCCCCGTTCCCACCCACGTAAAACACGTGAATACACGGGCGCCAGACTAAAATGCGAATACTATTTGACCGAATCCCACACACACACGATCGCCAACCCACACCTCTTTCTCACCGCACACGTGCACTTAACTAGGAATGTCAAATTTTCGGAGGGCTTGGAGGGTGACTATAATTATCATCATCGTGCATATTCGTCCTTCAATTGAAACACAATTCTCCCGTCCGACTACCGTGCTAAATGAAGATCAATTCGGGTTAAATTCCTATTTTCTTCCATCTGATATTCACCCTCCCTTTATTCATTTCAACAACAAGTGCCCTTGAAGTGAAAAATGATATCTCATACACAGGTTCTTTACCTATCAGGGATCAGTGTAATATGATAAGGTGTATTAATATTTCATAGGACGTGCATATCAACCTGAAACCAAAGATGATACGGATGATGGTCCAAAAATGGAGGAATTTCTCATAGGGTATGATAGAAGAATGGAAGTCTTTATTACTTTAGGCATATCAAGTTTATGATATTATGTTCACATGAAGAGTCCTGTGGGAGACGGTTATAAACCTCGTCATCGTCATTTTCGAAGACGGACCAAGAGAAAATGATCACATACTGGACAAAAGAGTTACGGACTTTATGGTTCGTGTGGGTGTACAATGTCAATTTGAAAGCTCATTTCTGCAAATTTTTAACAATGGCTGGAGGAAAGTGGTTGGAGGAATGTCATTTCAAGAAAGGAGCACAAGAAAAGATAAAACTCTCCAAATATACCTACGATCTTGAACTACGACGCCATTCTATATAGATTCAACTGAAACTTCTAGGCGCTCTAAACACGTTCTTTTAACCTGGGAATAACGAGAGAACGTGGGGAAAAAATTCGCGCGAGATCCCATTTCTCATGCGAACCGATGTCTATCCCCCCACCCCCCCCCCGCCGTTTTCTTTGACGAATTTTAAAAAATGGGAACCTATGGCTAGTTTTCAATTCGAAACTCTGAGAGCCATTTTTGTTTTCTATGCATTACGCCTATGGCATAAGTTGTTGTAGGTTTTCGATTAAACCTGTTGGTAAAGTTTGTCTTCACTTCCAAAATCAAATCGTCTAGCAAAGCGCATAATCATACCGCTACTTGAATTCGAGATAGTAGAAAGTAGATCTTGCGGCCGAGGTAATTTTTGAAAGTGATTTTTTAAGTGGATCGTGAATCATTGAATTTCCTGTAATATGAAATGCTCTTTCAGTTCGTATAGCCATTTTACGTGTTTTAAGTTTTAAAGTGCACTCGCTATGCACGCTATTTTCGCCGTAGGCTAGTAGTTTTGAAACAAGACAAAAAGGCATATATCTTTAAATTAATCACAAATTTGAATTGGATCTTGGGACAACATCAAATGACTTTTCTTTTATCTGTGAATTCTTCAAATGTCATTGATTTGATTGATATACAGGGGGCAAAGGGGAGCAAGTGCCTCCGGTTGGCACGTGACCGAGCGCAAACAATAAACAAAAGAGTGAATGAGAAGGGACAAATGGGAAAATATTGTTCTTAAAGACAAAGTTGGGTTGTGGTCATGCTATTACATTGTGACAAAACTGTGGGGAAGAGATTGGACAAAGCTGATCAGGTAGCAGATAACTATTGGAGTGTACTGCCAGGTTTTGGCATCATCAAAATGATTAGAAATGGGACGAGATTTGATAAAGGGCACATGCACTGTTCACAGAAGATGGTATATGAGACTACGCAAACATGTGGCATAAACGTTCACAACTTTAAAGGTACTATGTCCCATTTGTAGGCCAAATAATGAATAGGTTAAATTTCAACGGCATTTCAAAGATAATACTAATTTAGAACTTCCCTAAAAAAGGGGGCTTGAAAATGTCTTTAAGTGGGAAAATAACGACTATTAGTTGTCGAATCGATTTAAGAGCTATAGAGCCAGTAAGTAATAGTCTGATCTTCAGACCATTGTACCGAATGGTCGTATGTTTTATGTTGCGCAAAGATTCAATCAGTTAAATTTTGTCATTACACGAAGTGGGTTATTGATGTAGACAAATGCTCATGTACCCTTTACAGCTCATTTTATGTATGTTATTACTAAAGAAGAAGAAAAGCCAGTTAGTCACTCAATAGTGTCTGACAGTGAAGTCTAGTAATTAAACGGGTTTCCTTGCATAATTAGAATATTAGGACACTTCTAACGTTTAAATTTCACAGATAGGACATACATGACATATTCATAATTCCTGCTAAGTTCTACAGAATTGATGTTGGCTGCAAAAGGAACATAGTATCTGTAAGCTGTTACTTGACATATTTTTAATATGAGGGCACTTAAAGAGACATCCTTTTCAGAGGACATTGTTTCCTCCCACACTTACATTAACAGAATGAAACAGTTCTCAAACGTGTTTACCTTTCACAGAACTAGACTTTCTCTTTAAAAAAATGTATGCGTTGTTGATTATACCTTCATGTTGCAACCCACAATTATTATTGCGTCATATTGTACCAGGAGTTGTTAAAGGTATTACAAAGTTTTGGTATGGGGTCGTAAATTCGGTTCAAATTAAAATATTGGAAGCATATGCGTTCCTACAATATTCATTGATCGTTGTCGCGGTTGAAATCGAGTCTGAAGTTATGAAATTATAAATAATAAACTCTTTATGTTGTATAGCTCCCTCTCAAGGCCAAGATATTAATTTAGCTATGAAACCATGTTTCTTGACTAAAATCGACCGATTAGCCATTCCCGTTTGGAAATTATATATCACAACTACATATTCTGAGATTTTCATAATCACAGCTACCATTGTACGGCCATAGGCGCTATTTGAAATTTATCAAAATTTACCGGGAGCACCGGTAAATTTTTATATTAATTTTTTCTCGAAAACAGAAGTGTTTTAGGGGCTTATTTTGTGAGTGCTTATAATACATCCACAGGGGCATCCAAATATATCAAAATTGTAAAGATTTACTATCCACCAATTTTCAAAATTTCCCAAAACTTTGTATTACCTTTAATAGTCGTATACATAAACCATTTTGAACATTCTCGCACTCCTTGGTCTATTTAAATGTAATTTCAGCCATGTGAGCACCTTTATCTTTATACTGTGCCCCATTCACATCGGCAGATTTTTTTTCTCTCATTGCGACTTCTTCTCATTTAACTTAGAATTCAGTAAACTTTTAGTAGATTATTTCTCCAGTAGGGCAAGGCAAGCATGTAAATAGGGTTTTCTCGTCCTTAATCAGTTAGAAATTTATGAATTTGGCATCCACTTGCCTTGCATGAACTAAATCAATATTACCTAAACAATATGTGAATTTATCTTTCCGCCGTTGAATCAAGGATACACTCTATAATGTTTAGGGTGAAAATAAAACCTGAATGGTGCAACCAGTAACCTCTTAAAATTAGGAAAGTTTTTTTTTTCTTCCGAAATATCAAATTTAGGATACCATTTCTAAATACAGGCTACAGCCTTCATAATGCTGATCTTGTGCTGTATTCTGCAGAATAATAATTTCGTTATAACATAGTCAAGCGTATTTACTCTTTACTCTGATCTGTAGAGTGCATGTACCGATTTAAAAAAAAAGCCATGAACAAATTCGCGTGGGAAAAACGAAGGTTATAATGAAAGCAGAGTGGGTTTCAAGACAGAAGGCTCCCGATACACCTGCGAATTGATCTAAAACTCAAAAAAAAGGAAGCGCCCACAATATTCGCGGTACTTTTTTTTATACAGTGAATGAGAGTGAGCTTCCACGTGTTGAAATCATGATTGTCATCGGCAGTTTATAAAATGCCGAGGTATTTTGGGAAAAGTACATCTTAAAGTGGGTTGAGTGATTCTGGTTCTGTCCCTTTTTTAGTACTAAGTAAAACTTGAACAAACATGTACCCAAAATGGATGAACACATAATAGATTGATTACGTACATGGAACATGTTGAACCTCAATTCCCTGGCTGGCAGAAGACAATTTTCCGTCGGCAACTTGCGTCTAATAAAAGGAGCAAATATGACGTATGTCACGAATTCTCTTCACTCAGACTGATATCTATTAAAAAAACATTGTAACACGATTACAGTCAAGATATTTTGGGGATGGGGATTAACGCGTACGCGGGAGAATCCTAGTCACGGAAAATGAGTTACTCAATTATTTGGAGGTTCATTGTTGAGATTATTTGGATACAAATAATACGGAGGCCTATGGGTTTTTAAATAAATTTGGGAGTAACAACTTGCTAGGTGTTTTGGTTTTCTTTAGTTCCACTGCCATTTAAAAATAAACCAGTAAATCCCGCATCCTACGCGTGTGGGTTGTGGGAGGCCCTGACTGACTCCGTAGCTAAATAAAGAAACTTTTCCTCCTGGCTGAGATTAGCATGAGAAAGCTAGTACACACAGATGACATTATCTAATGTCTTTGATACATATTATTATATCACATACAATACATATTTATATAATAACTCGATTATTCTTTTTTGATTACGTTGGTTCTTTTTTTTTCCACAGGAGACTCAAAAATAACTCAGTGATGTCATTTCCCACAGGCCTCTTCGATGGGCTAGATAATCTTATTGATTTGTAAGTTCATGGTTATTAAAATTACAGTTGCTTGGCATTTCTTGCATATGAAATCATTTTAACTTGAACGAGTGAACCTCTGTTCGTCGTTAACATGCAGAATTTATGTGATGGAACTTTAATAACTCTTACAGCATTTTTATTCAAAATAGAAATAAACGATTCCTTCTTAGCAAATTCGGAAGAAAGGACCCATATTCATATGTAAATATTTATGAACTCGAGACAGCCCGAAAAAACGACGGCACACAAGACAGACATATGCGGTCTTGTAAAGACTCTAAAAAGTTGTCAGAAAGCCCAAGAGACCGACATATCCTTCGTGTATTTTAGCGGTCACTTTCATGGGAAGCAGCCTTTGAATAACTGTTTCGATATAGGTTGTACTTGTAGAAGTGTTATACATGTCGTTTATGATTTTATCAATTAATTTATAGCATTGCTCCTTTATTAAAAATAACCGAAAAGCGTCAATCAAGGGGTAAGATTTGTTTATTTTAATCAATAATTAATAATGGGTGAAGTGGCGTAGGTGTAGATATTAAACAGTTGGACATCGATCTCACTAAGTGGGCTAAATAGAGATTAACAAGTCCACTGATTAATGGAGGGGTAGGGTTGGGTTTCGTGGCGTTTTTTTTCCCGGTTTTTTTTAAATCTGTCCCCCCCCCCCCGTTTTTTCTTCTCGCTTACTTTTTGTTTTGACCCATTTCTTACGAACATTTTGATGGAGGATGTTCCCCCATTATCCACCCCCTTTTCTTACCCTGCCTCTTCAGTTAAATCAGACAATGCTCAATTTCACACAATTAATGCTTATTTTGCCGGTTACGAAACATTTTCGATTAAGAAGTTTAAAAAACAAAACACGTAATGGTGCTTTACCCCTCTAGGATAAGAACTGATTTAGGGATTTCAACCAAAATTGCAATGAATATAATTACTGTCTACTGACTTTCGTTTCGAATATTATGTAAAGTAGTAAAGCCCTTGCGCATTAACGAATGATTCTGACTCAAAATATCATGCAACTTTGTTGTATTTCCTTTTTGTTTTCATCACCCAGAGATCTAGGAGGAATAACTATCACAGATATAAGCGTGGATATGTTCAAAGATCTAACTAAATTAGAAAAGGTGTAAGTAAATGTCGACGTTATTATTCTTCTTTGCATATGATAAAGTTATATAATTTGGTATCTGATATTTCGATCATGTATAACACGATGAATGATTAAAGCGGGACTGCACTACTTGTAGCTACCATCGCCCTCTATATAGCAAACAATGCCAAAGCGGTATCCGTTGGTCCCCGGTGATCCCCCTTTTCTTATTTTAAGTGACAGCTAATTTGATAAGATAACCACCTGTCAGTGACCATCCAGGGGGTCTAATCAGGGAGGTGATAGGAAGGAGTGGAATCAAGCCGCTCTCCTTTGACCTCATGCTCCAAGCCGTCGAACAGTTATTGCGCTAATCTGCAACAGTTGACCAGGTGGTGAGATAAAAGAGCGCACGCAATATCAGGATTTAGAATTGTTACATCAGAAATGGTATCCTAGCATACGTTCGCTGTCCCTTTCAATGATTTCTCATCAGTTGTTGAATGTGTAATGAGTAGAACAAGCGAACACAAACTTTTGTAATTCCATCCTTTTTTTAAACTGCAAAAATACAAAAAAAATACGCGAAAACACGCATTAGCAAACTTAGCAAAGTTATTGAAGATTGTAAATAAGCGCATTATTCTTAAATATTGAAGATTTTTCAGAATCTATTTTTTTTTCAACTCTGACACACAAATTATAGTACGGGTGAAGTACTGAATTTGACAAATTGTTTCATGCACTATTCCCAATACGATCCCCATATAAAGTTTATAATTTACACTGTAATTTTGCCGGTAATTTGATATTTTGTAATGAATGTGCCTGGTGACTGGCCTCCGAAATTCCCCGCAGTGGAAGAGCGGCTCGTAGCATGGAACTTCGAAGCCAAGTGGAATGTTACACATCCTATCGTTACGCTTTAAAACTCACGAATGCGTTTGAATAAATTACAAGAGTTTCCACTCCTTACTGTCACCTCCCTGCTCTAATCCCTCCTGGCCAAACTAGTGCAGACAGGCTTCAAAATTAATTAATTTTAATTTAATTTAAATAAATGTAATGCGACTATATCTCCACATCAATGTGCATGGAACTTCGAAGCCAAGTGGAATGTTACACATCCCATCGTTACGCTTTAGAACTCACGGATGCGTTGGAATAAATTACAAGAGTTTCCACTCTTTTCTTTCACCCCCTGGTCTAATCCCTCCTGGCCAAACGAAAGCAGATAGGCTTAAAAATTAACTAGTTTTAATTTGATTTAAATAAATGTAATGCGACTATATCTCCACATTAATGTATATGGATATCTAGAATCCGTTGAAGACTTTTCATGATGAGAGCCTCATTTCGCTTTCTTTATTCCAACAAAGGCAACAGAAGCTCCTATTAATTACATTTTCCAGCATGGATTAGTTCAAATCGTTACTTATCAATTGCAGCACAGCAGCAGAATACCAAAATATGTATGGGATCATCATTTCGCCACGGTAGATGAATTTTAATTCGTGGTGACTGTGCTCCATTCGTGTTTTCCTACAATAATGGAACTTATACTCAATATTGGCTACAATGATAACGAGGCAGTACGGTGAGCTGAATAGGCCATTTTCGTAATGTAAACAAGTGTATACATAAAGGGATAGTTGAGTTCTGTTGCAGAGGACGCTACACAAAATAATTTTTTGTGAGATAATGAAAAACTGAGTGTCAAATTTGAAAGAACATAATATTTAAATGACAAAATCATCTTTGTTTGATCAAAATCGGTTCAGAGACGGCTGAAATATAATGATTTCTAATACTTGTGTACCACCACAAATATTAGATACTTTGAAAAATTTGAAAAAACCGTTAAAAAAAAAAATAACGCCTTTTACGTCGTATTTCAGCCAATGCCGATATTGGCTTTTTTCTTGGAATTTTCTTTTAGCTTATATTACTCACAATTAGCCGGCTTATCTATTGTAATTTTTGATTAAATAATTAATTAACGGTCACCTTGTTTTATTTTAAGTGGAGCTGAATTGGTATGATCGTATTGGCTAAATTTCACACATTTTGGGGTCTATAATTACCTTCATAGCAATTTTAGGTTCTAAAAGGGCACTAGAAATGTCATAGATAAGAATAAAAGCAACAACCATGCACTTTGAAGGCATTTGCGGTCTGAAAACAGAACTCAACTATCCCTTTAAGAGCCCGATACGAATTATTTCATTCACCTGTTACGAATAAATACATTACAATAGTCAGAATGCAAATTATATACATGTCGTTAAATAAAACAAGCCATGTTTTTTTTCCTGGAAAAATTAATGTACGCGATCGAAATACAATTATTTGTAACAGGTGACTAAAATACCTTGTAACATGGCACTTAACCCGTTGAATACTGAATTATCTTATTCCCATAGACTTAACACAGGGACCACCAAGTTCCAGTAAGCAATGGGTTAACAAAAATGTATGCATTAAATTTGATTACATTACGAGAATGGTCTATTAGCATAGGTCGAATTCAGAGTCTACATAGAGACTGTAATATGTAAAGTATGATAAACAATGTCTATCATGATTTTTATCCTGAAACAGAATTACCAATCGACTGATATTAGGTTACCGTTTAGATTTTAATCTTTACATTCGTAGGGCTTTCGCAAAGTTCGAGTACTGTCGCTACGCTCCTCATGTTCGTACCTGTACACCGCGATCTGATGGAATCTCGTCGTTCGAGAATCTCTTGAAAAACGTGATTCTACGAGTTTTTGTATGGACTATAGGTATCATCACCAGCGTGGGTAATCTAGGTGTACTGGTCAGCCGTGCTTTCATGAAGGCAGAAAATAAAGTCCATACGGTCGTCGTCATAAATTTATGCAGTAAGTTGCTAATAATGCAAGAGGTTACCAACTAATTCGACGACAAAAATCTTATAATGCTACCTTTGTTATGATTAGTTGTAAATAGAAACGTAAACGATTTGATTCACTTATGTCCGAAACATGTTTTATGAACTTTTATTCTACACGTATGCTTACAAATGTCTTCCGACCATTATTGTTTCAATATTGAACGCAATATCATACATGGCGTCGCTAGAGGGGTGTGGGGTTACCCCCTCCCTTTAACATTAGAAATTATTTTGTCTACATGCACATTTTTAATCATTATAGGTGTTCGTCAAAATATTACACAAATTGATATCCGTCATTTGTAATGCCTTCTTAAATTTTCGACCAACACCCTTTCCCTTAAATTCAAAATGGTCTGCAGATGCCTCTAATATCATCATTACCAAATCAATCTCTTCTCTCTAACAGCTGCTGATTTTTTGATGGGTCTGTATTTGCTCATCATTGGAACGCAAGATGTAAAATACCGAGACAACTACAACCAATACGCGCTGGAATGGACCAACGGTATTACCTGCAAGGTTTCAGGTCTGCTGGCTATCATTTCCAGTGAGGTGTCCGTCCTGACTCTCATGTTCATATCTCTAGAACGCTACTTCATCATAGTATATCCATACAGCTTTCAGAGAATTAAAGCCAAGCGTGCAATTCTCATCTTAGCCGTCATCTGGTTCATCGGGACTCTTCTCGCTGTCTTTCCAATGATTCCCGTAGCATACTTCGGGAACTTCTATGGGAGCAATGGTGTCTGTTTCCCGCTTCATCTCCACGATCCGAGAATGCAGGGATGGGAATACTCGGCGTTTCTCTTCCTGGGAGTCAACACAACTACCTTTTTCGTTATAGTTGTGTCGTATACAGGTAAACCATAATTAACTGCTCTTAAATAATGAAACTCATGTTTTACATCCTGTCTTTCTTTTTGGCCTCGAAATATAAGTTCTAGATTGACGGCGCCATACAAAATGCTAAATATTATAATGAGTAAATAGGATTAAAGTACCCCCCCCCCCAAAAAAAAAAAAAAAAAAAAAAAAAAAAAATCTCCTCCCTGTAGAGCCATATTCTAAGTTCTTGAAACAACCCCGTTTTCTAGGATAGTGTTTTCCAGTTGTTCCTACTTTATGATATACTGTCATCCTAATTGTATTCGATGAAGTTGGTTCATAGACTAAATTGACTGAATTCGTTTTCACTGGGTGCCTGCCGTAGCAAAAAACAGAGTTGACAAAAGACTTACCTCCATTTCGTTGACAATCAGTCGTAGACGAAAGACTTCATGCATGGCTGATTGTCAACGAAACGGAGTTAAGTCTGTTGTCAATTTTGCATGATGTTATGGCAGGCACCCAGTGAAAACGAATTCGTTTGATATAATTATGGAAATGCAAGCATTACTTTAAACAAACAGAACTTTGTCATTCCTTGCTCATTTTTCCTGATTTAGGTGTCATATGAAAGGACAGAACTTCTAGAAATGTGATTTTCTCTTTGAAATTCAGATACCGTCCGCCAAATGACTTTTTGGTTTCCTCACTTCAAATTCATTTTAATCACTCATGCGTGAAATATGCATCATATGAGTTACATGAAATGAAAAAAGGAGGATCTAAGCTTTCCAAATATGTGTCATTTAGTAATTATAAATGTGACTAACTTATGATAAAACTTCGTAAATTCTCGGTTTAATTTTTTCTGGGACGCACTGTATAATAGTGGATACTAAAATGTTCCATTTCTTTTCTCTTTGCAGCCATGTTTCTTAGCATAAGGAAAACAAGAAGAGCAGCGGCTCAGTGCGGCGTGAAGGATGACATGGCGTACGCCAAGCGTTTTTTTTTCATCATTCTCACCGATTCTTTATGCTGGTTGCCCATCGCAATCCTCAAGATAATGTCTCTCTATAACTACATCATTTCAGGTGTGAAACCTCGTTCATTGTGAAATAGTGTCTAATAATGACATACACCACCCATTAAGGCTGCAGATTTTATTTTCATAAATTCATGTCTAATTTGCCGAAGGCGATATGTTTTCTACACTTTCTGTCCTTAAGCTATAAGAGCTATAACTACATCATTTCAGGTTTGAAACCGCGTTAATTGTGAAATAGTGTCTTATGATGAAATTCACCGCACATAAAGGCTGCAGACTTTATTTTCAAAAAAAATTATTCAATTTGCCGGAGGCGATATGTTATTCTACACTTTCTGTCGTTAAGCTATAACAGTACCTCGCCAGAGAATTGGGAATCAGTCGATATGATATTTACGCCATATTCTGCACGATTCCAATTTATTTTTAATTTGATTAGATCTTGTTTCCGTCATGAATCAAATCATCTGTCTGGGGAACAATATAATTGGTTCTCGGTAGACTCGATTCCATTTAATTCTTTCAGAATTAGGTCGATTTATCATGGTGCTATGATTATCTATGTTTCTTTTCTCTCTCTCTTCTAGTCCTTTTTACGGCTCTCTCTCTCTCTCTCTCTCTCTCTCTCTCTCTCTTTCCTCTTCCTTTTGATTGTCCCCCCCCCCCTTTCATTTGATTTCTTGTCTCTCTCGCTCTCTTATCTCATATTATATTTTGCTCCTGTTGTCAAGAGAGAGATGTAGTAAGAACATTTAGAATATTATATCTCTGTTCAATCATTGAGACATGATTTACGATGATACTCACAAACTCACTCTTTTATAATTGTCATAAACAACACTCAAAAATGTTACGCAGTTTTTAGTAAGCAAGCCGAAAAAGGGGGACAAAATTAAAATCCGTGTGGCATGCATGATGTTTTAAACCACTGTATCAAAAAAACTAACTAACAATTGGCTCAACTATATGAGTGATCGTTATATAAAGAAGTGTCGTCATATAATTGCACCTTAGAGATTTAAATATATAGAGTTCTGCTCTTGTGATTAATTGTGAAATGAAATTTCTAGCAATTGGGAAAGGCTTGTTTAGTACATAGAAATGTATATATATTCTGAGGGTTTGGAACGATCACACCAAAAGACATTGACCGAATCTTGCCGAAAATCACATGACATATTTCGTCATGTTTCGAATAGGGGGACATTTTGAAAAGCAATCCCTTTTAAGGCACATTTCTACAATAATATTTTCCCAAACCGACATGAAGAGAATAAGAAAGCTCCCAAATTATTGTTTCCCTTTACCATAACTCAACCTTCTCTTAATGAATATGATTTAACGTCCTTCTGTCTTTCAACATACGATACACGGTACCATGACTTACAACTCGATTCCGAATCTATGTAATATTTATCACCAGTGCTTTCGTCTTCTTATTTTTAATCCATTATTATGATAAATTCCATTGTAAATGTATCACCTACGTTACCTACATACTTCTACTGTTCAATGCAATGATTATGCAAGATTGTACTCAATATGAGCTAACATTAATTTCTTTGATAATGTGTAATAATGAGATTGTAGCAACCACGTCACCCTTTTGGTATTGGGGTGCGATAACGGAATATAATACTGATAATGATGATGAAACTACTACTACTACTACTACTACTACTACTACTACTTCTACTACTACTACTACTACCACTAATACTACTATCACTACTACTACTACTACTACTACTACTACTACTAGGCTACTACTACTACTACTACTACTAATAATAATAATAATAATAATAACGATAATAATGCTAATATTTATAATAATAAGGACAATAATAATAGTACTATATTAGTAGTTATAATAATGATGATAATTAACAAATAATAATCGACAAATAATTACGATAATTTTCATGACAATAATAATAATATTATGTTACTTTGTTTAATTATTTTCTTTTAGAAACCCTCTACGGTTGGATCGTGGTCTTTGTCTTGCCTATCAACAGTGCCCTGAACCCTATTCTCTACACACTCAGTACCACCTCCTTCGCCAATTGGTTCATGCGCCAGGTCAAACGTTGTACGGTGAAGAGGTCAGAGGGCTACATAGACATCTCGCTTGAACAATCAAATGGAAGAGGTACGTTATCATCGTAAATAAATCAAATCAAATCAAATCAAATCAAATCGTCATCATTGCCGAAAATCATTTCTTAAATCTACATCCATTTTCCTTTCTCTTCCCATTTCTTCGTCTATTGTCATCTTCCCTTATTTTATTAAAAGTGTATTGTTTCACACAGGCGCCATGAACGTAAGTGCGGCACAAGCTTATGCTGAATTGGATTTACGCCTTCCTCCTGGTAGTACTACGCGCTTGAAAGCCTTAAATGTTTCGTTTTTAGTTCAGTTAGGATTCGCCAATGGGAAGCTGGGAAGTGATAGGGACATGCACCTAGGCACAACTTAAACTTGTTAAATTGTTGAAGTATAACCCTTACATTATATTATTTAAGTTTTTCATTCTGTATGAAAAAAGGAACGAAATATTTTTTTTCATTTTGAACTGAAATCAGATTGGATATATGGGCGATGGGAAGAGACAGGGACATGCACCTATTAAACTTGTTAAATGCAACTCTATCTCTCACATCGTATTATTTGAGTGTCTTGTTCAGTATGGAAAAGGGAACAAAATAAATGTTTCATTTTGAACTGAATGACGATTCAATACTGGGCAGCTAATAAAGAGATAAAGACAGGCATTCGCGTATAACACTTGTTAACTGGGAATTTTACCCTCTGAGCAGGTTTTGAGGAGGAAAGGCAAAAACTATTACAAAAAACGGATCGATCATTAAGGTCATGAAGCGCCGGTCAACTTTCCCACTTGTTCCTTCATTCACATCAAAATATATATACAAATCCAAACTGGCACAGTGACTCAGCTGAAATAAAATATACAAACAGACAATGACTGAAAATGTAAATGAATCTTGAGATAATGGCACGTAACTTGTACTTTAATTTCCGACATTGAGGGAAATGTAATCACATTCTAGCACAAAAATTGAATTAATATACAATATTTCATTCTTCGGAGGCATTTACTCCTCTCATCCACATCCTGCAGGTCATTTCGTGGGAACTAATACATTACCATCTGTTAGGGGTGGGACACCAAGAAGTGCCTTCTGAATGGAGTATCAGTCCAGCATGCATGAAGAGAGGTAGTTTGTTGGCAGAAAATACATGTGTTCATCGTACCCTTTCTCTGTCTCTCTGTGAAATCTCCATCTATATATATATATTTATAGAGGCCCTATCTGTATGGTTTTGTGAATAAACGTACATTATAATTGTTTAAGAATCAAAAGCATTCCTCCAATCCCTGTGATAGTTTGGATCCCTGGTCATTACTCAAAAGAAAAATTATCCTTGATGAAATTCTGGGACCAATTCGAGAAATGTATGTAATTGATCAAATCTTATCTTTTTTCTTTCTTTCTCTCTCTCTCTCTCTCCCTCCCTCTTGGTGATGTATTTTTTTTAAAGACCGAAGCAGAGACTTCACTTCCTTCACTGAAATGCGCCGAAATTCTTCTCTGCGTCCCAAACCTTCCAGCGTTCGATTCTGCGATCCTTCTGGCATCGTCAAAGATGCATCGCCAGCGAAGGTTACCAGTATCTGAACTTTGCAATCGTTTTTTTCGTTATAACGAATCACTGCCAGCTACGGCCCGAGGTGTTTGAGCGTTGTCGGCCAAGTTCTGTTGCCGCCAACAAAGAATCACCAGCTATAAGATCACCAGTGATCGGACAAAATCGGTCGTTTTTTTGCTTGGTTACCAGTACTTCAGTGGGCATGGTCAAGATCTGCCGCTAACAAAGACTCGCCAGCTTTGATTATCAGTATCTGAACAGAGGTGGCTAAGTTCTCTTGCTTCTGATGTATCATCGCTAGCTTTGGTTACCAGTATTTGGACAGGGATAGTCAAGTTCTTTTCCTGTCAACAAAGACGCACCTACTGTCATCAATGATATTTGAACAGGAATGGTCGAGTTCTGTCGCCGTCAAAGTACATCATCAGAAATGGTCATCCGTATCTGAACAGGAACGCATTGCATTGTTTTTTCTGTCAACGCATCATCGCTAACTTTGGTTGCCATTACTTGATCAGGAATGGTCAAGTGTTGTCGTTACAAATCATCGCAAGCTTTCGTTTCATACCTGTATTTGAACAGGAGAGGTCAAGTTGGGTCTCGGTCAACAAATGAATGCCAGCTGAGGTCAACATAATATACTTAAACAGGTGTGCCTAAGTGCTGTCTGTCGCTTTCAAGGAATTATTTCTATTATAACCCCCAGTAATTTAAACAAAAATTGTCAAGTCTTTTTCACCGATCATCATTAGCCATGGTCACCTAACAGACATGGCAAATTTCTGCCGCTCTCAACAATGAATCACAACTCATGGTCAGCAGTATCAAACACAAGTGGTCAAAATCTGTCAACGAGGAATCGCAAGCGACGATCTTTAGCATTTGAGTTGGAATGGTCAGGTTCTGTCGCTTTCAAGAAAGCATCTTCAGCTTTGGTTTCCTGTATTCCAGAAGGAACGGCCAATTTATTCCACTGGCAAAGAATCATCGCATGCTATGTCTGCCAGCATTTTGGAGAGGAATGGTCAAAGTAACAATGTGCATCGCCATAACTATGATCACCCACATATTGAACAGGAGTGGTTAGTGCTGTCGCTATTACCGATCATCGCCAGCTATGATCACGAGTATCTTAACAAACAGGAGTTGCCACGCTGTTTCGGAAACGGTCAGTTCTGCCGCTGCCAAAGATTCAGCGCCAGCTATGGTCACCAGCCGTAACCTTATTTATCAACAGAAGGTCGAATAAATATGAAGAACATTATTGCACTAACTTGCCTAAATTAAGTTGCGACAAACTACTGATAAGGTGACAGTGCCTGATTCTATTTAGAAATCAGAACTGTGTTGCTCTAGTCTATAGAACAGTGTTGATCTACCGAGGTATGGTATTGAGCAAAGAACATAATCATTAAATGAACCATAAATATGGTGGCCCTGAAGGGACATCGCGAATAGACTAAATCGTGAAAAATATGCGATAAAATTCACGATATCGTCAATTTTATCGCATATTTTTCACGAAGAAATTCACGAAATTGACGATATCGTGAACTTTATCGTGAACTTTTCACGATGAAATTGACGATATCGTGAATTTTATCGTGAAAAGTTCACGATATAAAGTTCACGATATCGTCAATTTTATCGTGTACTCTATCGTGTACTCTCCTGACGGGCGCTTCGTAAACAAAACCAGCCCTAGCTGGGGGAGACAGAGAGAAGGAAAAAAGGGAAAGGGAAAGAGAAGATAAAATGAAAGAAAGAATAATAAGAAGAAAAGAGGGAAACGGGGGGGGGGGGCGAAGGGCTCTTGCCTCCTCCCCCTCCCCCCACCAAAAAATAAATCAGAGAGAGAGAGAGAAGGGAAAGGGAAAGAGAAGATAAAAGGAAAGAAAGAAGAGGAAGAAGAAGAAAAGAGGGAAACGGGGGCAAAGGGCTTTTGCCTCGTCCCCCCGCCCCCGCCAAAAAATAAATAAGAGAGAGAGAGAGAAGGAAAGGGAAAGGGAAAGAGAAGATAAAAGGAAAGAAAGAAGAGGAAGAAGAAGAAAAGAGGAAAACGGGGGAAGGGCGAAGGACTCTTGCCCCCCCCCTCCCCCCACCAAAAAATAAATCAGAGAGAGAGAGAGAAGGGAAAGGGAAAGGGAAAGAGAAGATAAAAGGAAAGAAAGAAGAGGAAGAAGAAGAAAAGAGGGAAACGGGGGCAAAGGGCTTTTGCCTCGTCCCCCCGCCCCCGCCAAAAAATAAATAAGAGAGAGAGAGAGAAGGAAAGGGAAAGAGAAGAAAGAAAGAGAAAAACGAAAAAGAGGGAGAATAGGAAAGAAAGGAAAAGAAAGAAAAGAAAGGAGGCAAGAGCCCTTCGCCCCTGTTTCCCTCTTTTCTTATTCTTTTTCCTCTTCTTTCTTTCCTTTTATATTTTCTTTCCCTCTCCCTTCTCTTTCCCTTTATGGCGGGAGGGGGGAGGGGGAGGTAAGAGCCTTTCGCCCTTCCCCCGTTTCCCTCTTTCCGTCTTCTTCTTCTTTCTTTCCTTTTATATTTTCTTTCCCTTTCCCTTTCCCTTCTCTCTCTCTCTCTCTCTCCTATTTATTTGTTGGCGCGGGAGGGGGGGAGGAGGCAAGAGCCCCTCTTTTCTTCTTATTCTTCTTCCTTTTCTTTTTTATTCTCTTTCCCTTTCCCTTCTCTCTCTCTCTCTCTCTTATTTATTTTTTGGGCGGGGGGGGGGGGGGGTGCAAGAGCCCTTCGCCCCCGTTTCCCTCTTTTCTTCTTCTTCTTCCTCTTCTTTCTTTCCTTTTATCTTCTCTTTCCCTTTCCCTTTCCCTTCTCTCTCTCTATCTCTTATTTATTTTTTTGGCGGGGGTGGGGAGGGAGGAGGCAAGAGCCCTTCGCCCTTCCCCCGTTTCCCTCTTTCCTTCTTATTCCTCTTCTTTCTTTCCTTTTATATTTTCTTTCCCTTTCCCTTCTCTCTCTTATTTATTTTTGGCGGGGGGGGGGGGGAGGAGGCAAGAGCCCTTCGCCCTTCCCCCCGTTTCCCTCTTTTCTTTTTATTATTCTTTCTTTCCTTTTATCTTCTCTTTCCCTTTCCCTTTTTTCCTTCTCTCTGTCTCCCCCAGCTAGGGCTGGTTTTGTTTACGAAGCGCCCGTCAGGAGAGTACACGATAGAGTACACGATAGAGTACACGATAAAATTGACGATATCGTGAACTTTTCACGATAAAATTCACGATATCGTCAATTTCATCGTGAAAAGTTCACGATAAAGTTCACGATATCGTCAATTTCGTGAATTTCTTCGTGAAAAATATGCGATAAAATTGACGATATCGTGAATTTTATCGCATATTTTTCACGATTTAGTCTATTCGCGATGTCCCTTCAGGGCCACCATACATAAATGCCACGTGTAGACAGAATGCCAATTTCAAAAATTACATCTTTATTACATAATTATGAATGTGATGTACAATTCCGCATAAATGATATACGTAGCTTTCTCTCCGATCATGGGTTTATAATGGATTGGTGCTAGGCTCTCACTGGGTCATTGGAGGGGCGGCTATAACAGTTACTGCTGTAAAAATAGTAGATGGGCATTTCATTCTCTTCAAATAAAATGGTACTACACCAAAATGATATTGGTATAAAACGGGGATATTTCGGGCAGCGTACAACAGGAAACTGTTCTTCGAATTGTCTACTATTTCATCAAATAATACAGTTATAATAACTCTGCTGTTGTTGCATTGGATATTCAGATTCACGTAGTTTACGTCATTCTTTTCCTGATATTTTAAAGAAAATTGACCACGAACCTGTTATGTATTGCTCAATCAGGTTGCTTTATGAAGAGAATCGCATGGTAATAATGTTTCCTATGGAATCGCGGGTGAATGTGACCTTTCAGCTTATATCGGCCGCCATTTTTCTCGACAAATATGTTAGTATATTGTATGCTAAATGTCATTCACTCTTAACACCTTGAGCAAACCTCACTTTTGAGTGGTCACGCTTTTCCGTTTACGTGCGACTCTTTAATCTCACCGTCCAAAGTCACTCCGCGAACTTACACACGATCGTGAATATCTAATAACCCTATGAGCTTGAATTAATGGTGTACATGCACGCAGGGCATGAACAAATGTTGCCAACGTTTTTTAAAGAACGGCGCGGTCAGTTCGTGCATCCACGGTTCGTGTGAGTTAATTTGCGATTGTGACCTTTGACGATGCGAATCGAGAAGCCTCGAAGGGACAGAGAAGTGTGACCACTCGATAGTGTGGTTTGCTAAAGCTGCCAAATGGAACGAATCCATGTCCATCATTTACCGTGGATGATAATGAAGTATTTACACAAGCCTTCATATAAGTGTTTAATACTAGCCTTTAAATGTGAACTATCAGAAGTGACGACGTTGTACAAGACGTCATTTAATGTGCTAAAGTTGATCATGCGTGGGTATATAGAGGCGTATACGGACGTACGCGATCGTACGCGAGGGAGCGTAATGCCCGTTGGCTCAGTGTTATTATAATTATGTAGTGATTGCCAAGTTGCCTACTTCACGGACGACTATATACCCACGCATAAACATCTTTAATATCAATTTATTGAAATCCAGACCAGTAAATTTATTTATGCTCTTCAGGTAACTGTTATTACTCTCCTAATACCAGGTACGTCTGGTGGTTATTCATCATGTAAAACTTGTCCTTAAAACTACGATGAACCTGTCAATTATAGATTTACCGACTATTATCAATAATGAAATTCACATAATTATATGGTATATATATATATATATATATATATATATATATATATATGCCAAAGCGATCGTAAAATATTAATTTATCAAAAAATAAACCAACATCTACTTGCCTTACAAATGAAATATCGTTTGCTATATATACATGTACTATTGTACACTTAAATCCTATTTTATTGCCTGAATAAATGATTGATTTATTGTGACAAGTCTTGCTTCAACTGAGTGGCGCGCTTATATCAAGTAAGTACTATTTGCAGTATTTTATTTCCTTTGGTAATAAAGATAAAGTTTAGTCAAGTCATTCGATAGCATATTGCGAAAGAAAAGGCGTGTATAATCGATCAGACAAACACACACGCACGCACACCCACACACACGGACATAGACAGACACACTCACTATATCTCTATCAGTTCAAGTTCTTGCAACAACAACATAAACTGATGGAAGGCTAACGGTACAATTTTTAAGAATACTTTTAAATACAGGTTTGTGTTTTTAAACATCACGAGAGAATATAATAAACATGATCAAAATAAAGCGTACATGTTAATGAGATCGTAGCCTCAATAAAATACTCAGAAAATCTACTAACTTTGGAAAAGCTTCACAGAAGCCTCTTATTACTATTTAAGATTATAGTAATGCAGATTAATATTCAACAAATAAAAAATGTTATTTCCGCCATTTTCTTGAGCTTGGATTTAGAGGATTGGATTGGATATCACTGGATCGAGACTAATTTTGATGGGTTTGGATTTCGCGCCCGATATTAATTATGTGAAACGGAACCCTGATGAGTACCAAGCATGAATTCTGATTGTAAATTATACTGTTTTTTTTTTTAAAGATTCGTTCTCCCTTTTTCCCTAATAGAGTCTCACTTTAATCCAGAGATTAAGAGACTTAAGATAAGATCCTGGATCAGCTCCATGATTTATCCAGGATTAAGCATTAGGGTTGCAACCGAAAGCAAGCTCTTGCTGGGCGCAGACAAGTTAGTACATGTTACTTTCACAGTTAGTGATCTCCTAATTGTGCATGCTGGCCCAACTAAAACTTTCTCCCACGCAGAAGTTAAGAAAAATTTCTTATGTATGTAAAACGTAAGGCATTTGTTTCGGGGTAAATAATATGTGTATTAGTAAGATTCATAAACTATTTCACATCGATTTGCAGATTTTGACAATATGGAATGGCACCATCATTAATGTGGCATGTTTGGTTACATTGATTTCTTTTATGTAGCAAAATGTAATTTCATTCACATTGCCAAAATATGTCCGGAATATAATATTTTTGTATGTAAGCTAGATAATTATGATGAGGTATAACTAACCAATGTGTCCGTTATTGGTCGCTCGCTTCGCTCGCTCGTAAAGTTATGTAGATATCTTTGGGCGGGGAGGGAATTTCAATGCCTGCCATGGTGCATATGGGCTCATGGTTTTAATGGGTAGAATATTCCTTTTCCTAGTTATCAACATGATCAATATCATTAATGTTGATTAAGGCATTTTTTATTTTGGGTCTACTTTGTGAGGCAATGTATTTTTCAAAATATTGTACATGACATGTACTTTTTTGTTTATTTGTTCATTTTAAAAACAAATACTTTGCAAGCGTAGCCGTACGAGATGCCGGGAGAAATTTCCGCCTAACAGTTTCCACAGAGAATCACAACTTGACCCCCCTTTTAATTCTCAAGGCAAGAGCAGTTAAACGTTTCTCCAAACAGCTAATAGGCCATTTTCGTAATTCACATTAAATGCACAAATCTGTTTTAAGTGCCTCGTTACAAATTATTTCACTCACTGCTGTTACGCATAATTACGTTGTTAGGTAGGACGAGCCTGTTTGTCATACCTAGCAACATGTTATATATGCAAATCGCATTCCGACTACAATTATTCGAAAAAGGTGAAAGATAAAAAAATTGTAACAAGGCAAAGATTTGTGCATTAAATTTGATTACATTACAAAAAATGCCTATCGTAAACCACCATTTACGAAGGCTACACAGACCAACCGGGGAGGGGAGAGAAAATGAGTTAGAGAGACATCGGACAGAGTGAGACAGACATAGAGGGAGAGAGAGAGAGAGAGAGAGAGATGGGAGATAGATTAGCATGTGTAGTTCGCAGGATTCTATAGGGAGCACTATACTATACGGTATATAGGCCCATAATTCAAGAACAAAGTATATCCCATTGAAATTGAATAGAACTCGGATTATTATAACGTAATGCATTATTGCAATGTTTGGAAATTCAAATTGCCCAAGGTTCGTTTCTTCGACAGCTTTTGCGATGCTTATTTTGCTGAGAGGTTACTTCCAGCCAAAACTTTTATCCCAAGATGTACAGTTTCATTCATTCGTTTTTCCCAATTTATAGGGTTGCACATAACCGAGTACATGTGCCTGACTTTAAAAACATGATCAATTCTCTCATGTGCTTTTCTTTGGTTTGTCGGTCTCATGGACCTTTTGGAATTTTTCTTATTTCAAATATTTCCTTCATCCGTTTGTTTAGTCGGGCTTCTGGACTGTCCATCTTCTTGGATGGTCCTAGTCTAGTTCGATATACAAATGATGCACAGGTTTGAGTGCGTCGGTAGGGATTGTGTGCACATGGTACCTTTAAATTGTTTGAACCCACGAGGTGCAGCCGAGTGGGTTTTAGGCCAAATTCAAAGGTACCGCGTGCACACAATTCCACCGACCCACAAATTAAACTTGTGCATCATCTGTTTAATAAGATGGGGCCCCAAAAATTGTCAAAAATACAAAATTTTGTTATTTTATAGATCTACCTGATGCATGGCAAAATCATGCGTCCGGTAATTTTTTTTTACCGGACGCATGATTTTTAACTTATCATGAAATTTAAAAAAAAAATAAAAAAATGTCAGTGCACATTAAATTGTAAAGTTAAAAAAAGAAAATTATAGAACTTTTTTTTTAATTTTTAAACGGATTATAATTATCAATAAATACGAAAAACGAATAATTATAACCAATTTTTTTTTAAATCAAAATAATCATTAAAAAAAAATTATATATAAAAAAAATCCAGTAAAAATAATTACATGGTAATTGACCAATCAGATTGCAGGGATTCTTCTACCCATCTTATAATTTGGTCTGTTACAATAAGGGAGTTTACAGATAGCACATGGTACAAATGACCCCAAATATCCACAGATCTTTTACACATGGAGGAGTTCCACTTTCGAGCATCTGAGAATAATAACTGCCAAAGTCCTAGATGTGCTTCATGAATACCTTTTGTTTGACCTCTTGAAAAGAATACTTCCACCTGCGTATCATAGAATGTACCGTTGGTGCATAAATGAATAATGTTACATAACTTTCATGAGCGCATATCCAGTATTCATCACTGTGGGTTTTACCATTTTGGTACAAATGACCTTTATCTGCCCATGCACAGATTGTATCCGTAAACCCCCTTATTAATCAAAATCATGGAATACGACCAGAAGCAGACTAGGGACTAAATTACAAAAAATTATCGTAAGTTGCAAAATATTAAACATACAATATCGAGCAAGCGATCTTTATATACTGGGTGCAAGCCAAAACTTTCCCAGGAAGCCAGACATTCAAAACCAGAACGTTAATGACGTAGCGTTCATCCGCATCTCGCAACAACAAATATCGTAAATTTTATGTGGTACACTTTTGAATTGGTCAAAAAATAAAAATTTGATGCCCTGGAATAAATTTGAATAAATAACAATAATTAATCAATGGAGCACAATCTCAAAATTCTGTGTAGAATTTTAGTAAACCAAATTTAGCTCTACCAGATAAAGCAAACCAAATCAAAATCGGTCAAGAAATGAGGGAGAAGAAGCACTTTTGGCTTTTCTGGAATAAATTTGCATAAATTACCATAAATAATCAATGGAGCAAAATCTCAAAATTCTGTGTACAAGTTTAGTGTTCCAAATTTAGCTCTACCAAATAAGGCAAACAAAATTAAAATCGGTCAAGAAATGAGGGAGAAGAAGCAATTTTTGTTATTTTTGGAATATATTTGCATAAATTACCATAATAAAGAAGCATTTTTTGTGATTACGAATAAATTTGCATAAATAAGCATAGATAATGAATTTCACGATTCTGTGTAGAAGCTTTAAATCCCCCTCCTAGCCCTATCATATGAAACAATCAGAATTGGTTGAAATAACGAAGAAGCATTTTGAAAACTGGACGACGGACGCCATGGCATAAGCTCATCGGGCCGGACGAGCTAAAAAATTATAAAATACTTAAAATACATGTACATGTATACACACAAAGTATTCCAAACACAAATAGCACAATACACAACATTTTTTATTGTTGAGGAAGGATGTTTTTATTGGTAGAGATTTTTTTGGTTTGTTTATTCATCCATTAAAAGACATAGCAATCATAATGCAAATAAACAGTTACGGTGTAATATACAGTCCTGCAGTCATGATCGATTCAATTTTGAGATGCAACATCTCGCATGCCGTCATATAAATGTTTTAAATCCCTGATTTTACTCTTTTTATTGTTGTTCTTTCTAAGTTGCTGCTTTAATTTTCACACGTACAATTCATGAGGTATGCGGAGTCATACATGTTCTTAAACACATTTCAAAGAGGCAAAAGTTTAAAGATTTGCTGGAAAATGAAAGTACTGAAGCAAGACGCTTTAACATTGCACCCAAATTGCATCATAATGGTGCAGAGTTCAGAAATGCTGGCACATGTATTACCTTGTCAGACTACACAACTGTTCAGCTAGATTTACCATTGAATGTAATCACTCTCAAAAACCAATTCTCAATTCACATTTTTTCTTAAGATCTATTCTGTCCACAATGTTGTTTCAGTACTGATTAACTCGCAGTGCATGTACAAATATCAGCTTTTCTGAATCGCCTCTTCTTGTACGCCTTCATATTAATTTTGTGTCATACAGACTGTTAAAAACATTCTTACATACCAGCAATTTGCAAATTGAAGTCAAGCTTCTCTAATTTTTACAATTCAAAATTTCAAAAACATGCATCCTTGCTCAACTTAAAAAGCGTGGAATTGATTTTTAAAAGTGTTGTGCACACGTATAAAAATGTTTCAAAATTTTTTGTGTATCATTTCATGATGGCAGTGATTTTTAAAAAGAAAATCACAACCCCTTCCCTCTAAGAATGTTAAATATGTACAATCAATTAAATGTAAGTAGAACACAATAATTTTTTTTGATATATACAAGTATTTACAAATAAAATATGTTCATTGGTTGCGACACTTTCTTTTTAATGATAGAACCATTACTATCTGCCCTTTGAAAAGTTTTTAGCTTATCCAAATAATAACTGCATCATAAAAAAATTGATAAAAATGCAAATGTATACAAGTCGTAGCTCTTGAAAGAACTTGATTCTTATTTAATACTTAATTATTTTTCATTTATATTCTTTTTTTTGTTGTTGTCATATAATTGTTTTAGTGCGCATGTTTTACAAAGTTGTTTTTCATAATTCTTGATTCAATAGGAAAAAATGTACAACACTATGCTTATTTCATAGCATCAAGGTTTCAAAAGATTGATCTCTTCCCTCACGCAATCTACTACTGTACATCTAATCGATGTTATTATAGAGCACCTCCAGTTTCTCTTACCCTTTTATCTACTTCATTTTCAAACTTTCTTCTAATCTTGCATTCATTCATAGAATTGAGTTTGTAAAATGTTTAAAAAGCACCATCGATAATGGGTAAACATATTGTAAAACAGTTCACTTTAAATAGTAAAACATGCATAGTCAAAATTGTTCTAAAGTGGGGCCACAGTTCAGTTCACATATGAAACATGCACCTAAAGAATTCACCAAACGTATTAAAAATGCATGTAGTAACCGCTCAAATACTTACTGTTAGCAGACATTATTTTCACCAAAGCGGTGAGAGGGTATAACTAAAATTACAGGTGTTACAAACCAAATAAAAAGAAAATAAAAGTACTTGTTCTCTGCTAAAGAAAATCTGTTTGACATGTCATTGCTGTGAGGACACAGTTTAACAAAATGGCTGCTTAACAGTCGATGGTAATAAGTTAAATGAGCAAATGACTCTCAATATAATGCACCAAGGATCTCTCACATATTTCACTTTTTATACTTACCTCACACAGAATAAAAGAGCACATTTTTTGCCCATTTACAAGAGAATTATTATGCCATATTTAATTAGCGTGTTTGCATGTGGATGTTCAAACACAAAATGATTTGGAATGTTATATGATTTGGAAACGAAAATACAATTCTAGTAAACAATGCTCTTAACAAGTACAATGATGCCAAGTGCCGACTTTAAAAAATCAAAATATATAAAGTTTATGAAACAAATATCTACATACTTGGTGTATAAACAGGGTTCAAGGTATAAGGGCAACAGAACTCCCAATTCTCTTTCAAATAAATTCCTTTTCACATAAAATGAAGATGAAAGTTCATATTTGGAGAGAAAACTCGCTCATTGATCTCACATTAGTATTGGAATGTCATCGGATAGTGATAATACACCATACCATTACTGAGATGACTTTGGCGACTGATCCAGGCATCTTTTCCGCGCTGAAATGCTGGCCCCATCATCAGGCAGACTCTGCTCAATTTATAATTGATGTTTCAAGGATCAATTGCACATTGTCTTAAAAACCAAATTAAAATCTTAAAAGAGGCTTTGTTGTGCAAGAAGTAGTTCCTCTAGGCTCTATGATGCTGGAGCATTTAGAGCCATATTGCAAATGATTTAATGTTTGAAAATTGAAAGTATTAAAAATCACATGAGAATTTCATAAACTATCACTCTGCTTATGGGCAATCTGTACTGTATTCCGTTAGACACAACTTTTATCCATTTATTCCCTTCAAAACTGAAAAATGGCATTACCATAAAACAATTATTTGATGGTCATATCAATAAATTTTATTTTACAAGAAATAATTGGATAAAAGTCATGCTGTTCAGAAAACTTTGCACGGCAACGCCCTCGTGACATATTCTATTAGGAAAGGTGGGTAAGTTCTTTGCCTATTCTGAAAAGGCGCTTGTAAAGTTGTATATATTCAACAATCGATCATTGGCGATTGTCTTTCAAGCAGCTTACAGGATTTCAAATGATGAACGACTGGATATAGACGCTATGAATACATGAAAATCACAATCGATCACAGCTCGTCTACGGGGGAGTCAAACAAGATTTGTGCTGTTCATTGGATAAACACCCAACCTTTTTCAAGTAGGCTCCATCCCTCCTCTCAAATAGAGTTTGATTTTGAGACTGGGCGATCCCATCTCTGTATCTAACTTTGACCATCTCCTCCTTACCGGGCATGTTATAACATGGTCATCATTGTGTGGGGAGAGTGGTAGGGACTGGTGTCATGGAAGCTCCGCTGTACCTGTTGAGGGGAAAACAAAAGTTGAATGCCCACATAAGATATTGATATTTGGACCGCTGAACTCGCCGAAGGTAGTTATATATTTTTCCCTAAGGGGTCATATTTTCACTAAGTGTGCATGACATTTGTTGCACACAGAATTTTTTCCTTATCTCCACTGAGTCCATTCTCTACTTATTTACACATACAAACAAAACACTGCCACGTTTTGTTCACATGACGAAGTTTCCTGCATATGTGAAAGAGTCATTACGAAGAGACATGACCTGTCAGAATTTAGATTTGTGACAATTAACCAACCTCTCACAAAAGATAAAAAGAACATAGTTACTGATTATCCCCCTCACACCATTCCATTCCCATAAATAACACAAGATATTGTAATAGGGCCACTGTAATCAAAACTAGAACCTTTGGCCTATGCCTTGTTCTATAAAAAGACTTCCAAAAGCTCCAGAAACTCACTTTTGAGACTTGTACTTCTCCCTGACAGCCTGTTGTTCCATGGTGGGTGCCTTGATAAACAGCTGATGAAGATCTTGCACACAGGGATAGATGTCACCCAGCTGGTAGTCAGTGTAGTGGGCCATGGTTGGGGTCTGAAACAGAGAAACAAATTTCCATGAAATGTTCATATTAATTTGTTATGGTATACAGTGGAATGTTATACAAATTTAATTGGAATCAAGGTAATTGCCTTGGTTTAAATCTTGATATATCATGGGCCTAAAACACACTAGAAAACTACCAAGATAAACAAATTGACAATAATGTGGAACCACGTTTATAACATTTATACTGGATAAAGGGAATTGCCTTTTTCTGAAATTCTGTTACACCAGGGCCCGAAAACGATAGAAAACAGTACTGGTATTGCGAATTTTACATTATGTGGAAGTGCAAAACCAGGTTCTAAAATGTTCTTTGGGTCCAAGGGAACTGCAGTCAAGTTTTAAAATCTTGTTATATGAGGGCCCTAAAACAATAAAAAGTACAGCAACTGATAAAGTTATCTTGCTATATAATGAAATTAGTTGTACCAGTCATCTTTATGACAAAGCTCCACTGTATTCTTATCATCTTTATCATTTTTAAGAAAAAAAGGCTTCAAAGTGTTGAAAGATTGGCCCTTTATAAGTGACCAGAGTAGCAGTTTGTGATATCAAAGAAATAATCGGGGATCAACATTGGACTGGAAATTTCTGTTTTTTTAATCACAATAAGTTACTACGGTGATCTTTATACCAAGGCACACAAGTACAACAGACAGGGTTTACATTTTTTTAGGAGGGGGTCTGGATTAAGAGTTTTAAAGTTTGTATCTTTGCATTTATAAGCCCTACATGTCTGTACAATTTTTTTTAAACTATGGGGCTCCAGACTTTGATTTTGGGTGCCCATGTTTTTCAGGGCACCTGTTGGTGTTCAGCCCTGCAAAAGAGCATCTGAAATCGAAATTTCAAAAGGTACACTGAAAGCTATGGACAGACACTGTCACACACATACATGTACATGTATATACCCCAAGTTCAGATGGGTGATTCAATCTATATTTACATTCATTTGTTGGAATTAAGGAGCCTCTATTTTATACGTACCCATTCTTCGTTGTTGAGGGTGTGGTTGGCAAGGCAGACTGCTGATGCAGCAATCATCGACGGGGCATACTTGATGAAGTCGTACTCCTGCAGAGTCAACTCAGCAAGGTACTGTTGTGGAAGGAAGGAAAGAGATAGAGAGATCTGGTAAATAACTTGTACATTCATTTAATTAATCGGCAAGTTAAAGCCCCTCTGCACTCCTTTGGCCAGGAGGGATTAGACCTCCAGGCTGCATGGTCACTGACGCTCATCAAATCAGCTCTCAATTAACATAAGAAAAAGAGGACCATTGGTCACAGATTAGGCAAAGTTTGCTATATAGAGGGCGCAAGAAGCTATAAGTAGTGCAGTGGGGCTTTAAACTGAGCCACAACATGCTTCACCGAGTAGTGGTGATGGTTCTTGAATATTACATTATTCATGACATAGGTATAGACACAGTAAGGGAATGGGTAACATGAAATATCAAATTAATTTGCCAAGTCTGAAAAGGTATTATAGTTGAGGGGTACTTATTGTTATATTTGTTTATAGTTTATACCATGGCCATCTCTTGTGAATTCAACCAAAAGACTTAAACGCAAATCCCAAATAAGCGATCCTGATTGGTTAAGTCGAGTTTAAAGGTAAAGACCAGTTATGGTCATGCGATTGCATTGTGAAAGAAACGTTGTGGAATCGATCAGAAAAGGTTGATCATCTAGCATCTAGCATCTGCAAGGTTCTGGAATCATCAAAATGATAAGAAATTTGGCCCATTCTTCGTTAAGTTACAAGCACTATACACAGAAAGATGTATATGGGACTACCCTATATCTCTCACAGACCATGAGAGAAACAAATTTACCAAATATATGAATTAGTAGGCGGTTTCCCGGCAAATTTGTTATCATCATGTATTAGTCAAAACATATTCTTTCACATGATTGGTAATAAGAGCTTCCATTTCATTTTTTGAAATTGGGGCGTATCCAATACTGGTCTTTACCTTTAATATTTCGAGTTGCGTTTAAACTCTAAGAGGGCCCAGGGGCGTGTTTCTCAAAGATCCCAAGTTGAACTTATCTCTAAGTTGGACTTGGAACAATTATGGAAAGCCTTTCGCATCTATGAAAATATTTTGTAAAAGTTGTTTTAAAAGGCATAAAATGTTGATTAAAATCCTTCATATTTTCTATTGACAAGGGGAATTTATGAAAAGTCTAAAATACTTGAAGTTTTGCTTTCGAATATATTTTTATTTTAAGGCTACAAATGGCTCTCCATAGTTTTTAAAGTCCAACCAACTTACAGTTAAGTTTGACTTAGGATCTTTGTGAAACACCCCCCAAGTCCGTTAATTATTTAGAGATAATAACCTGCGTGAGATGTTCCGTCTTTGAGTTGGCCTGCGCTGCTTTGATGAACCTCGGCAAGAAGGAGTTGATGGTGGGTGCGGCCAGGTCAAAGGACAAGACCTTGAGGATCAGGTGCTCCATTCGAAGGACCTGCTTGATGGAGTAGGTGTCGTCGGTGATGTAGACAAACTCCTTCACATCGGGTGGGTAGATCTCCTCGTATTTACTGAAAGAAAAAGATTGAGTGGATGCATTATTGCATTGTAGACCAATTCTCTATTTCAAGGCAGATGGCTGCCTGATTTTTAGACAGATAACAGATGTAGGCAATTTGAGCATTTCAGAAGATGGAAATGTGTGCAGTGAAATAGTAGCAATTAAGTTTTTCAACAACAAAAAATCAACCCTCCCTTCCCCCCTTGCACTACTTTGAGTACTGGTGATTGGAATCACTCGAAGCAACCTACACATGTATGAATAAACATATGTCTCCAAAAGTTACATAACAGAAGTCTTATTGAAATTTGTGGCTCAGTCAATCACTGATGTGCATATTCTAAAGATGAACAAGAGCATTGTTAACATTGCTTTATCAAGTGCAATAAAGTGGCAGCCACTGATAATACATGTTGCAACATTACAAGGTTACACCAAACAGGGGTGATAGTGAGCACGTCTCCCCCCCCCCCCCCCCCCCCCCCCCCCAACGTGCACACCCCCTTAAATTAAAAAAAGAAAAGATCAGGGGGAAAAAACAATGGCATCTAACAACATTTCCCCCTTTTGAGTAAGAAAATTGTGAAAAAATAGGTAAAAATCAGTGAAAAAAATAAGTAAATTGGGAAAAAGGTTTAAATCTGGTTTTTATCAGGCCTGCCCAAACCTCTATTGAATGTACTGTACAGTGTTGCCTCGTTCTGATATGAAGTGGTAAACTGCTGCATTAAAAAAAAGGTATAATGGCAGAAGTGTTATATACTTCACAAAGTTCAAACTTCTGTATCTCATCACACAGAGCTCAGTGTAGAACCTTTGGTGCATGCAGTTGCCATTCATTTACACTTTTTTTTTTTTTTAAAGCCATGGTGTACCACTTTGTATCTGAACAAGCCTAGAGTGACAAGTAATAGAACTTGTCTGGAAAAGTCAAAAGGGTGAAATCACAAAACAATATTTGAAACTTACGAGGCTACAAACATGCTGGCTGTGCCAACCAGCTGTAGCTTTGCCCTCAGTACACTCATCTGGGATAGGAATCTATCGATGAAGGCAGCGGCCAGGTAGAGAGTCTCGTTGTGGAGACGGTATTCTTCCGATACCTCAACCAACCAGTCGACTAGGATGCAACGCATGCTGTTGGTGATGTCCGGCTGTTTCCTCATGTACCCGTGCTTAGGTCTGTGCTTTGACTGAAGGAATGATAAAGGTGGCACGAAAGGGTAAATGGTTAAGACAGACTCTTTTACAAATTTTCTAATGCGAGTTCCCAGGACATATTATTTTTCTGGTATGTTTTGGCCATCTTCATGAACGAGCAGTTTTCTTGGTAAATATCAACTACAACCATGGAAAGGGTTTCTTGTGATTTGGTGGTATTGGGTCTATGGGCAATTCAAAAATCCAAAGGCAAAACCCTGTTGATAAAGACTGGTTGCCATAAAATGTTATTTACCTTTGATTACCAATTTTCCCTTTGTTCAACAATAAGCAATTGCATACTCATGTCACTCCTTGTGCATCTACAGGTAACCTTTTGGAGTGATAACTAGTTTACTGATTTTGGGAGCTCTTTTGATTATCTCTAGATGTGCCACAATTTCACCCAGCTAATCTTTGTGGATGTTCCTTTTACCAGGGCCCCTGTGACCCTTTCTTATAAACAGTTTATACTCTTTATGAGAGTGGGGCCTAGCCCCAGGGTCTGCTTTTGAGCTATCCAAATCTTTTTCTGCCGTCTTTTAGCGACTTACCTCTGCAGTCTTCAAGTACTGATATATCTCCTCTGCATACTCTGGTTCTCCTAAGGATAAGTCTCTTATATCTACTGTTCGGGGTGATATGCACTTTGCATCCAGAGATGTATCGAGCAGCATAGGTGAGAATTCTAGGATTTAAAGTGGGAACATATATAACATATTACAATAAAAAAATACTTGGAACTATTACTAAAAGCCCTTTTTAAATGCAATAATGCAACAACCTACCTTATAAATCTGAATCTTGACACAAATTCATTTTCATAGTTTGTGCAGTAAAAACAAAATTGAAATAAGCTGCAGACAATAATGGCTCCCACCTGTGATTTTGAATGCTTTGTTTATATACAGAATTAACAGAAATATAAAGTGCACTTAAGAGCTCTCGCCTCACTTTATGTTGCAGAAATGGCGGTTTCTAAATGTCCTCGAGTCAAATCTGCATTTTAAATATACCAGAGGAAAAGTGGCTGTTGTGAAGTTCTTTAGATACCTTACATAATTCTACGAAATGAACTACCGGTACTTGTATCAATTGTATGAACATCATAGAATCTTCCCTCAACACGAGTGTATGCAGATCGGGGTCACATCTCTTATTTGTAAGAAACATCGCCAGCTCACACCATTCCATATCCCTTAATAACACAAGAGACTCGGAGACTGAAATCAAATGTAGAACCTTTGGCCTATGCTTCGTAAATTACCTGACGATGTTAAGCTTTCTTCATTGAGACTGACATTGTTATCTTCTACATCGGGGAATGTTCTCAAAGGAATCCTTTGAGCTTGAGGTACTGGTAGTGACAGAGCAGTGTCCAACAAAATGTGTTCATTTTCTTTGTCCGTGCTCTTAATTGATGTTGATGTACTTGATTGCACGTAGGATGTTGTGTCGACGTGAATAGAAAAGGCTGGTGCTGCGCCCGCTGATGGAATGCCGAATGGCTTGCCCTGTGGTATCCTAGAGTGTGCATTCTCATCTTGAAACACAGGAAAGGAGTTCTCTCCAGAGACCTTTGTAAATAGAACAAAACAGGAAATAAGTTAAACTGGGCACATAACTATAAAATTATATGAAGTCACAACAAATTATGAAATCAAATTGATCTAAAAGCGATAAATATGTTTTTTTAAAGGAAAAGTTTACCCCTCTTAGATAAGAAACCAAATAAAGCAAGTTTCCTTGCAGGAATTTTTAAATATAAACAGTGGCATGGCTGGCACTGGCAGACTGTCACTCGTTGCACTCCAATATTATTACCCCGGCTTAAGCATGACTGCTAATACGGCGCTCAAGCATTTTAAGGAATTAATTCCTGACAGGTACCCATTTACCTCACCTGGGCCGGGTGAAGTTGCAAAAGTACATCTTTTTAATGTCTTGCCAAAGGACGTTAGTGTTGCGACAGGGATTCAAACCCTGACCATGCCGGAAGGATAAAGCTATAGACTAGCTGATGATTCAGCTTCAGTGACAATATCACTATCACCCTTGTATTGTAGACGAGAATTTGCCCTTAGCTTCTACTTTTTAGGGCCTTAGATTTGGTATCTTGTGTTTTTACGACTCCTTCGGTCCTTATTTTCAGAGCAGTAAAGATTGTTGGTAGCCCTTAGTGCAGTGCTTAGTAACATTTTAACCGATCTTCTTAAGTTCTTTGTTTACATTTGCAGCAAACCAGACACTACCTTAGTACCTTGGCTAAATTTGTAATCTTAATTTAATGAAAATGTGGCAAGCCGATATTCATGAAAAAATTATCCCCTTATCGACTAGATCTAGATTAAAATTAAATTAAATGATAGATCCAGACTAGTGTTTTCACAATCCACACACGAAACACTTGCAATTGGGCTTCTGACTTCTGAGTCTCAGTGAAGCAAATGTTTTGCCAGAATAATCTGCAGTATTACTCAACCTACGTTAACCTACGTACCGTTTAACGTTTTGTTGCTGCCAAATGTGTTTCTGTCGTTTGTATTGTTTATTTATCTATTTATGTTTTGGTCCCAAATGCCAAACTCCTTGGAGATGGAGTTTATAAAAATAGGGTCTACAGACCTACTATAGCTTACAAAATCAAAAGGACAAAAGAAAGGCTTTTAGTTTTCTTTTTTGTCCTTTCTATCCCATCCCCTCTCTCATTCCATCTCCAGCTCCTTGGCTCGAGACTCTCTCGGAGTCGGGCTAACTCGGACCAGCGGACAACTCAGCTCAGATGCAAAAACGGTCATTTTTTGCATGTTTAGGTTTAGGGCAAAGGCTAGGGTTAGGCCTTAGGGGTAGACTCTAGAGTTAGGGTTAGAGTTAGGGTAAAATGACAAAAAATGCCCGTTTTTGCAGCTAGGCCGAGTTGTCCCCTGGTCCAAGTTAGCCCGGATCCACTCTCTCGGCCCTCTCTCTCCACTTTGTTTTGCATGTAGTCTACACTCTACACCCTTCATTCATATAATGTTCATAGATCCCTAGATCTAGACCATTTTTAGTTTTCTTAGAACCTTACCCTAAATTGCTTTGCCGCTCGAGAAGGTTGTACTCTTGTTGATGATACGTTCGTTATCGTTCCCAATGCCGCCCTTTTGCAAGCCTGTGGTCCATTTCTGCTGGTAATGTCATCTCGCTTTGTTTTCCTTCCAAACTGTTGTCCTCCTTGTGCCATGTTCGCCATAATATCACTAGCGTTTGAATTACCAATTGAGAAGGCCATGTTGTTCAGTGTTTAAACAAGTTATTTAGAAGCCTTGGAGAATATAGAAGTTTAGGCCTGCTAATTAGAGAGGTTGCTGCAAGCCACCGCACTTGAAACAGAATGACTGATGATGTTGGCTTTTCACGCTGAGCTGTCTTGTCTAACCACCGCTACTCCCGCTGAAATTAACGTGCAAACTATGCGGACAACGGTTTCACGATGAGCCGCAAATACCTTCTTTCCAATCGTAGAATAGCCAATTAAGATTTTCCAGGGTGTGGTCAAACACCCTTGAAAGAAGAGATACGTAGAAATTTCCTCCAAAATTCCAGGTGATTCAGTGAAATGAAGTAAAAGTAATTTATTTCATTCCATTCAACGCCAATGGTATGGGCAAATTACACAGTTCTGACACGCATTCTTTACATTTGAATTGCCCGCTGCCGCCCAGATCGCGAGCCTGAATGGAACGTACCACTTTTATATAGGGTAGGAATTGGAAAGTGTCGACATTTCGATATTTTTGTTTTAAAAAATCTGTAGATTATGTGCATATTGAGTTTTCAGTATTATCAAAATATAGTATTAATTAACTTATTTAATAAAAACTGATCAGTTTTAAATGAAAAAACTAATTTTATTGTAAAAAGCTATTTTAGACCACCCCATATAAAAAATGCGTATGCCTTACACATGCGTGTTGTTTTCCTCGCGCCCAGCTGTTCGGGCTAGCTAGCTGGAGCGCTTGGGATGGTTGTGTACGCAGCTAGCACAGTTCATTGACATAATAAGGCTTTGTTCCAATTACATTTCATAACGGAGCTGAGAGAATCATAAAGATAATTTTTATACATCTAAATAAGGAGGAAGGGGGAACAGGCGCGTAGCCACGGGGGGGCACGGGGGGGCACGTGCCCCCCCTAAAATTTCCAGGATCGGTTGAAATTTTGTAGACCCCTTTTTTTGACCTCGATCGATTACATGTATGTGCCCCCCCAAACATCAAACTCTGGCTACGCGCCTGAGGGGGAAGGGGGCGGTTTATGAGTATTTTGTTTTTTGTGAAAATATCTATATGATATGAATAAATTAGCAAAAACGACTTGACGATGTTGATGATGATGGACAATGAAGACAAGATGAAGACAAAGATGCCATGAAGAATCCATAAGGATAAAAGTGAAAAGACTCCTTGACAAAGATTCAAATTGACAAAGAGGATGACAGGGGGTGACATAGATCATGATGAAGAGGATCAATGATGATGGTGATGTTGATGATGATGGTGATTATGATGATGATGATGATGATGTTTGATGATTGGTGGTGGTGGTGAAAAAGATGCCGATGAGGATCGATGATGAGAAGGATGACGAGAAAGATTATTTTGCCATAGATGATCCGCAAGATGATGATAATGATACTCGTGATCCACAAGTGGGAGTGAGCTCTATTTTGTTTTACTCAACCCCCCCCCCCCCCCCATTGAGCAATTTTTTTGTGATTACTTTTTTTACCAGGGGGGGGGGAAGTCTTTTTATTTATTTTTTAAAGGAACGTCAACCATCTTGTTTAAAAAAAAAAAAAACCTATTTCAAATAGTTGGCCAGGGGAGAGGGCCGGGCCCTCGGACACCCACCCCCCCCCCCCATCTGGATCCGCCCCGGGTGCCTCTCTTACTCAGGCTACATTGCTGCAACTCTGTGCATTTTACTTGTAACATTAAAACTTGAAATAATATGAAGGCTTGTGATGAATGTTATATGTCTGCTTCCTCCCTCCTCGAGGCTATAATTCAGACCGAATGCCCGGGCAGAAAATGAAAGGGGAAAGTGGGATCGGAATGGAGAGGGTGAAAAGGAAAGAGAGAGAGAGAGAGAGAGAGCCTGAGAGAGAGAGAGAGAGAGAGAGAGGGAGAGAGATAGAGAGAGAGAAAGAGAGAGCTGGGGGGGCGGGGGCGGGGGGGGGGGGGGGCGAGGAGTTTGACGGGGGATCCATATATCGGATCAGTAGATCAGACATATCGTATCAGGAAAATTACCCCCTGGACAATCATCCCTCGGAAAAGTACCCCCAGAAAACTATACCCTCCCCCAAGGACTACCCCCTGATAATTATCCCCCCCCCCTGAAATCACCTAGGACAATTACATCCCCCCCCCCCCTGGGAAATTACCGCTTATTTATTAAAGGGGTAATCCACCCTGATAGTAAGTTGGTTTTAATAAAAGCAGATTATTTTTTCGGGGGTAGGCCTAATTATTGTCCTCTGGGGAAGGAGGGAATCGAGGGATGATTATACACGGGGATATTAAGGGGGTTAATTTTCCGGGGGTAATTGTCCTCGGGGGATTAGTCCTTGGGGGTAGTTTTCCGGGAGTAATTTCCCGGGGGGTAATTGTCCTATATAGAACCCAGATATATGCAATCTCGAATGGATAGATCTACCGTCTATAAAAAAAATTATGTATGCCCGCTTCAACTCCCCCCCCCCCCCCCCCCCCCCCCCCCCCGGACACCACCCCCACATCCCCCTGTATTTCAAATGATATTTTATCAAAAATAAATTATGTATGAGCACCGAAAACCACAATAACAAGATATATACAATAAATATAAATTAAATGCCATATAGATTAATCTAGTCTACAAAGAAACATTCATCAATGTTTTAACCTAATTTTGACAAAAAACACTCATTTCTGCTTGTGATTCATCATAAATATCCTTTTTTTAAAAATAGATATGTTAATTCATTTGTGCGCATCTCACAGAAAAGGAAAAATACTATGAAAGAACATTACATCAAGGCATAATTTCCTGTCTCGTCAGCGTATATCGGTACGCCAATCACGATGCCCCTCCTTCGATCCCTCAACTCCCGCGCTCCGCCCATTGTAGCCACGCCCCTCTCCATTCTTGTCGCTGTTTAGAAGACTGTACAATATTACATAGTAAGTGACAATGACGCTTCTTTACGCTTTGATTTGTCTTTTTCTGAAAAAAGTTTTCCTATTTTCAGCTTTGCTTTGTTGTGATGACATGTGGCCCGAACGTGACTGTTTATGATTAACGTTAGACCGTGCATGTGCACTGTGAAGCGCGACGAAATGACCCTTATTGCATGTGATTAGTCCCATCAATGCTTATTCGTGTCTGTAATGAAGCTTAAGAGTACACCTGTGTTTGTATCTGACCAAACAACAATGCAAAAGATCTACCGGTATCCATAAACGGCATGGGCCTGGGGGTAGTCAGAAAAGGGACTTTTAGATTGAGTGGACGAGAACACGACGAACGCCCACCGATCATGCGTGTCAACGTACTCAATTGCCCATGTTGACTAGAGTCTAGACCTACAATTAAATTAGAAATCTTTTATTGCACTCAACGATTATACTAGACCGAAAGCTTCAGTCTCTATATCGTCGGTTGTTCCTCTGAGACTACGTCTGGCTCCACTAGACCTCCGGATATAGAGACTGAACGATCGCCTATGCCATCGTATGTTGAAGATATCACGGCTAGATTTTAGCCGTTAGGCCCCTCCCACAAACATGACAAACTTGAGGAGAAATACATCCTTTATCTTCAATTGCAGTAATTTTCTAGGCAATTGTCAGTCCCTAAAAGAAATAAAAGGACTTACCGAGCTTTTGGCTGCTTCTCGATGACCTACGTCAAGCATTCTGACCGACAGAAATCAAAATGGCGGCTAATGAATATTCAAATACGATAATGGGGATGGTTGACCTCGCCTCGGCTAGCTCCTCCGTACGTCACGTCGAGGATAGCGCGCGCACATGAAGCAGACAACACGAGAACTCAAACTTAAATGTATGTGCACGTACACGCACGTCTATGAATGAGGTCAATGGGGTGGAGACTAAAAAACTTTGTCATGAATATTCATTACTTTGATTCAAGATGGCTGACGTCTGAAGACAGTCAAGTGGAAGAGATAATAACACTTTTTTGAAGAAGATTTCATATGCAGAGGTCCAAGGTACATATTTTCTTTAAGTTTATCATGTGTGGTTTAATTCTAAATGCCAATTGTATATGTTAGTGCATGCGATTCTTACAAAAAAAGGATTTAACTTAGCGTCAGGGCAGTATCGTCTTATCGTATACCCGTAGAGTGTATCTTTAACGTACGATGGCATAGGCGATCGTTCAGTCTCTATATCTGGAGGTCTAGTGGAGCCAGACGTAGTCTCAGTGGAACAACCGAAGATATAGAGACTGAAGCTTTCGGTCTACGATTATACATGCATGCAGGAAGTAACACTATGACCATGACGGACAAAGAAAGAGGACGAAGAAAGAGGACAAAATATACAGTTCCTCATTCTACCCTCAACAATTGCTGTGGTAGACAAAAGAACATCCCTTCACTGCTATTATGTAAAAATGTGTAGAACAGGTGAATACGCACGCATGTAACATCTGTTCTACAGATTTTTACATAATAGCAGGGAAGGGATGTTCCTTTGTCTACCTGAGGAACTGTATATTTTATGAGCACGCGGCATACTAGTACCGTACTAGATTTAGGAAAATCAAGGTTGACGCATTCTCGATCGCCAACTGAGACGACGTGATGCATGCGCAGTGCCTTAAAATGACGTCGCATGTTGCAAGCAAAGATGTCAACATGCAAATCTAAAATTTTGCTGCATACAGTACACACTTGATCACAGGTTTTCCCAAACTGATCCATGAATGTATTCTAATAGTAACAGCATTGCCATTGATAGACCTATATCTATTTCCTCTTTTTCTTCTTTTTTTCCTGTTTTTAAATAATTTATTTTTTTCCTGTTTTTAAATAATTTATTTTCTGCCATGTTCTGAAACTATCATGGGGAAAACAAGATGCAAAAGATAAATAATGGGCAGATATATCTGTGCTTTTGGACGTGGTACGTTTGAAGCTTTTACCTTTGGCTGTAATTATGATGAGATAAAAAGGCCATTCAGTTTCAAGCCAAGGTAAGTTTTATAATATCGGTATATATGTAAACTAAAATTCAGAGGAAGTATTTAAAATAATTATCCCCCATTCATTTTTTACTAGTGATAGATCAATACAACCGTGCCATTTGGTAGTAATCCGTTTGATTTTGAACCACTAGTCCTGCTGGGGGATGTTTGACGTTGCCCAATGATTTACAGAATTAGACTAATGTTAAATAAATTGTTATCATCTTTTATCTGCAGTATAACCACATTTCTTTATATTTGTCTTTGTTAATTTCAGGAACCATCAGTGACTCTAGCCATGCAGCCTTTCGGGGACGCTGAGATTGGGGTGTCGACATTCTACGCCTCTAGGTATGCCAATGATCAGTGTGGAGCGGACGGTCTCCCACTCACTCCGAGCTCCATCAAGATCGTCGGCCGGTTCCAAGAACTCCGGGTCCTCCACCACCCACGACTCTGCCAGTATCTGGATGCTGTCAGAGGAAAACATGGTAAAAAAAGTTTCTTACACTAACCTCTATTAAACCACACCTAGCTTCTATCCTGGCTGTGTATTAAAAACTGTTTAGACGACCTCTATTGATTCTCAACATTTCAAACACCACTGTACAATTTAAAAACTCAACTGAGTTCACTCAAAATCGGTACTTTAGGGACAATTGATGACACCTAAAAAGCAGTACTTTCAAAATACACTCCTTTCAATTTACCGATGTTGAATAAAAGAAAAAGAATTGCTGATCAGCCACTTTGTATTCATTGTGTGCATTAGTGTGCAGCGTGTGCATTGTGTGCAATTGCTGCCTCTCAGCAAGTATACAGCACTAGAGGTCAATACGCATTAGCATTGACTCTATGCTTTGCTGGAGTGCCTCTAACCACTTGTAGAAATTCAAAGCACTGCCAAGTAATAGATATTGATTAGGGTTGATATCTAGTGTTAACCTTACGCAAAACCATAGGCCTAAACGTAACTGAAATAACCAAATTGCAATCCCAACTCTATTCCTAAATCTTTGATGAGATAGAGCCTAGAACCTTTTTTTACTATAGCAAAGGTAGGATCACCAAACTTTGTGCCAAAAATTTAATTTGATTTTTTGTCATCACTGTGGATTAAAACTACATCACTAATTTGTTTTCGTTTTATTCTAAAAGGTTTGGGTACCATAGCTTCTAAGGTAGCCTCTCCTTGCAATGGATATGATACATGGGAAAAGAAGAAATTATTACTATTTACTATTACTATCAGAAAAAGTATCAGACATGAATATTGATAGACAATATGTGTAATATAATCAAATTTAAGGCATAAATCTTTGTTAAGTGCCATGTTACAAATTATTTAACTCATTTGTTACAAAGTCTGTTTTTTGATAGTCAGAATGTGAATTGCATACATTAGTTGTTGCTAGGTAGGACAAACATGGCTTGTCCTTCCTAACAACATGGAATGAATGCAATTTGGTATCATGAAAGAGCCTATTTTTTCTCCTTTCCAGCGATAAAACACTTTAAATGATTATGTAATCATGGAATGTGCAGTACACTTGAATGTGGGGCCAAGTCAAAAGTGAAATGTTACAAAATGCATTGTTATTGTCCATTGTGAATTATTAATATGTTTGGAGAATGGATTGTGTTTTGAATGATTAACAATGCATTAGGCAACATTTAACTTTTGACTTCCTCCATATTCAGGTGTACTGCACATTCCATGATTACATAATCATTACAAATGACTCATCATTGTAAAGGGAAATAGGCAGGATTTTCAATGATACCCAATCCAATTATTTTAGCACAGGAGATATCAATGACAATGCTCAAACTTGAATTGCAGACATTTTGTAAAGTTTAGTTTGAAGGAACTAGAGACGGTACATTTTCCTTTATCTCTCCACATCCAGTTGTAAATTTTTCATAAAATACATGTTCATGACTTTTACAATCACTAAAGCCCATGACATATACATGTACAAGACAAGTGTGAATGTGGATAACTGTTTCCTCCTTATCCCTTGCTATTATTGTGTAGTACATTTGTATTTGATGTAAACTTTCTAGATTATTTTCAGTATGCCTGTAAAAAGCCTTTCTACCATTCATTTCCATTTCAAATATACTGGATGACTCAGAAATCTTGTGATTTTGTAGAGCTAGTTCAAAGCTGTCGTAGTGATTTTACAACATTAATGACTGAAGTTGCTAAACAATTATTTTTTCTTCAGAACGCTTGATAATCGTTGCCGAGCATTACAGCAATAACTTGGGACTTGAAGCTAAGAAAGGAACTTTTAAGGAGTGAGTAGGAATTTTCCTTCTTAAATTTGCTTTTCTTTGGTAACTTCATACTTCTACAGAATTGCACATTTTCATTCCTTTTTTTGTTTTACTATACAGAATCATATTCGTAAAGTAACAAAATGTATGCAATGTCTTTGCGAAGCGCCTCACACATTTATTCGTAACAGGTGAATGAAATAATTTGTATCTCCATAGTCGAAATTCCAATTGCATACATTAGTTGTCGCGAGGTAGGACAAGCGTTGTGGTTTGCCCCACCTAACGACACATATACAATTTGCATTGTGACTATTGAAATGCAATTATTTGTAACAGGCAAATTAAACAATTGGTATTGAGGCACTTGGGCATAAATTTGGCTATATTACAAAAATTGCCTCTTCTTATAGTAGCAGTGTAGTTACAAGATATTGGACTTCAGATTTTGTATTATTTAATATTAAATAGCTCTTACAGATAAAAAGATATGATTCACATGATATTGAATGTTAGGATTATATTTAGTATATTTCAATGTTATGTTGACCACCTGGTCTAATGAGTATATCTTTTTTTTTGGGGGGGGGGGAAGGGGGGGGGGATCAAGAGGGTAATATTTTCCTTCAACTCTGAGCGCTTTGTGAAAATATAACCCTTGTGAAAATATAACTCCCTTCGGCGGTCCAAAAAAGGTTATATTACCCACCCTACCATGTCAATATCTGTGTTTTACATGTAGTTAGTTTCACAAATGGGTAAAACGTTTTGATATAACAAAAATATATCACTACAAGCATCTTATATAAACGGTTCACTAAATGTGCAGTATTTTTCTTAGTGTTTGGTGTTTCACAAATTTTTCCTTTGTCTCCCAAATTGTGGAAATACAAGCTGGCTAGCTTACTTTGTACATGACATATATATTTCCTTCATCATTTTTTGTAACATCGCTTTTCTTTTTCTTTCAATATTTGTGTGTTTCAGTCCAGGTCGAATTCTTCCCATCATCCACCAGACACTGGAAGGATTGAGTTTTATGCACAAATATGGCCTGGTTCACAGAGGCCTTAGTCCATCCAACATCTTACTAAACCCAGAGGTAATGCAATGCAGAAAGCAACACTATGAATATGACTGACAAAGAAAGCGGACAAAATATACAGTTCCTCAGGTAGACAAAGGAACATCCCTTCACTGCTATTATGTAAAAATGTGTAGAACAGGTATCACATGCATATTCACCTTTTTACATAATAGCAGTGAAGGGATGTTCCTTTGTCTACCTGAGGAACTGTATATTTTGTCCGCTTTCTTTGTCTGTCATATTCACAGTGCAAGTTGCTTTGAATATCTGTATGTTATTTATCCGTCACTCTCTCTATTTGTTTCTATTGTAGCGATTTGAAATGGCTGGCCCTGCTTACAAACAGATCAGCACATGATCCGTATTTATAAAACCCATGAATATTAAAAGGTTATCTATTTTCTGCTATTGTAAATCTTAACTTATTTTCTGTCAATTTGAAGGAATTTTCCAATGTATCACTGTATTTTACTGATCTTTTCATTCTTTTAAAATCACGCAATTATTAACTTTTACAATATATTGCAACTTTTTTGATAGCCGCTCTGGTTACAAACAAATACATCCCGTTAAAAATCAATGGATATCTGAGAGAAAATATTATGACATGAACATATTTATATATTTCTTCATATTTCGATGAACTTTAAATTTATATTGTGTAATGTTAGATTTCACATGTATTATTGTATTGTAATGTTTTTATCAAATTGTAAAAAGACACGCTTGCCCTCGAGCTGTGAGATGATTTTAAATAAAACAAACCATTTATTATTATTATAGAGGCAAGAATTGTGTGCAAAGCTGCAATTTACTTTGTGGCGATCATTCTGAAAGTTACTATGTATGTAAATGTATACATGACTATGTAGAAGAAGTATGACTGATGTTATCCATTTCATGGGCATTCTTATTGCTATTAGAATTGTAGAGGTGTCGTTGTCTAGTAGATACGTCACCGGACCGTGGATCATGCGGTTCACGGTTCAAGTCCCGCTGTAGCACTACTGTCCTTTGGCAGGACATGAATCTCCATTTGCCACTCTCCACCCAGGTGATTAAAATGGGTACCTGGTATGAAGAACTCCATGGAATGCTTTAGGGCCTCATTATGGCAGTTTAGCTTCAGCCAGGGTAGTGATATGATACTTCTTATTGAGCGCAGTAGAGTATATTTGTATAGTAGCTGTGCTAGATAAATGTTTATACACCTGTTATTATTATTATTATCATAGAGGCAGTTTGTGAACGTGATGTTGTGAATATTATTCTATGTGTGCTTCTAACTATAATCACAGGGTCATGTGAAGCTGGCTAAGTTTGGACTCTATCACATAACCAACTGTGGTTCTGATGTGCCATTTCCTATTGGGTAAGAACTAATGTATGTGATAATTGAAGGTTTACATTGAATTGAATTGAACTGGTTTGGTCTTTACAAAGATCATGACATGCAGCTCATGGCTGATATTGTCTGCTTTGCAAGGTAATTAACTATCATGAAATTCCATCATGATAAAAACATCAAAATACATCCCTATGGTAGCATCAATGATCATAAAATACTTATTCATGTAAGGTTAAAACATATATTACAGATGAGAAGTAAGTAACTAATAAATAAAAGTTTTTATGAGAAATCACTGGAAATTTAAAATGAAACCTGTGATGATTGTCATCTGTGTAGAATTCTCATTTCTGTGACATGTGATATAGTAACCCTTTTAAGTACACCAAAACAGTAGTAAATTGAAAATGACATATCTCTGATACCGGTAAGTGGTCTTTTTCTCTCTACAGCCATCCAAGATACATGGCTCCGGAGGTACTCACCCCTGGCCCCATGCTACCAACCAACGGTGACACACCCACGATGCCCCTCCCGCCAAAGACCACCAACCTCTCCTCCGGACCTAAGGGGGACGTCTGGTCATTGGGTATGGTCATCCTGGAGCTGTGCTTGGGTCAGACCCTCTGGCCAGTGGCCACCCTGCCACAGATCTTGGCCAAAGTGATGCTGCTGGGGAAACACGGGGCACAGAACCATCCTTTAGACACCATCCTGGATGAACATGCTGGACGACAGAAACTTGACGTGAGAACCATATCTTGAGTGTTTTAGAGAGTAAAAGATACTTTGTACACATTGCAATTGTTCATTGAAATTACCCTTACGATGCCAAAGGCAATTTCTCCCAATGACAATTTCATTATAGAAATGGTGACATTTGGTTTGTACTTGATACAAATGTTTATCACTTTAATACATGTACATGAAATTATGACAATTTTTGTTTTTGAAACTTTACATTATTAAGATACATGTACATGTACAAGTCAGAATGAAATGTTGACTTATCGGTCACTTAAACTGAAGCATGTAGTTTTGTAAAGAGATCTGTGTTGTTTCTCTTTTCCTCTCCCATCTTGTCATTAAATTTGCTTTCACATAAAAGTTGATATCTTGTGTGTATTTTCCCTCTTTAACTTTGTTCAGTATCTGAAGAAAGCATCACAAATTGACTGCTCTGTTTGTTTATTTGACAGGCCTATCCAGCCAGTCTGCAGTCGTTTCTGAGAAAGTGCTTATCAGCTTCTCCTCTTGAAAGGTAATGCTTTTTAAATTGCACCCCATTTATTAGTGGTCAGTCGGTGCCTGAGTGTTGATGCCTCATTAATACATCCCTATGAGCAATGTAATTCAACAAATGATAAAACTTTTTTAAATACCAGGAGCTGTCTTATAGAAATTTGTGATTAATAGCATCTTATTTGCGATTGATATCAATCACAACAATGTACACAGTCACAAAGGAGACTTCAAACTTGCGACTGATTGGAGGACTTACGATTGATTCGGATAAATCGCAACTTTTTATAAAGCGAGGCCCAGCGCTATAAATTCTTTTTAGCTCAACTTTGTTTAAATGTCTAAATGGGCCATGATTAAAAGTTAAATGGGAAATAAAATAATACAATTAATGTCGCTATCTTCATCATCAGTTTCAGTGTGACCTATGACAATCTGTTTTCTTTCCAGACCAAGTACGACAGAGCTGCTAGAGGGTGATATGTTGAAAGACATGAAGCCTTCGGAGCTGCTGCCACCCAGCAGCCTCACCATGTTCAGATACCAGGGACTGAGATGTAAAGACCTAGAGCTCGATACTGATCAGGATGATGCTAGCCAAGAAGGTGAGGATTGCCTGCCTTCTGTTGAGAGAACTAAAGGCTCTTTCAGATATGACACGGCAAAACTGCTGCAGGTTTTGTATGATGACGTAAAGTGTGATATTTAATGAAGAAATAAATGATACTCTTTCTCTAGATGATGAGGACCATATGTCTTCTTATAATTTTAATGACACCGACAAATTCACATGAAAATGTTAGTGTAATAATTAAGACATTATTACTTTGCAAATTAAATAGTCAGTTGATATTGAGAGAACAATTTGTTTTGTAGAAATAAATTATGCTCTTTCTCTAAATGATGAGGACCATATATGTCCTATAATTATAATGACATCGAAAAAAATTCACATGAAAACTTTAGTGTTATAATTGAGATATTTTATTTTGCATATCAAATGGTCAGTTAACTTTGCCAGTTCATATTTAGAGAACAATTTTTGATGAAGAAAATAAATGATGCTCTTTCTCTAGACGACGAGGACCACATGGCCCAGCGGCCGATGAAAGAGGTTTACTATCTCTGGACGCTAGCAGGGGGAGACCTGGAGGGAGAGCTCAGGAAGAAAGGCTTGCTCAGAAGTCAACCTCCACTCTGTGCTCTAGCAAAGTAAGCTCTACAAAATGGTGTTTCTTTAAGTTTTTGTCTCCACACGAGACAGTTTTTGTCCCCACATGTAGAGGTGTTGTGGTCGAGTGGATACGTCGCCAGACTGTCGATCACAAGGTCCGCGGTTCGAGTCCCGCCGCCGCACTAATGTCCTTTGTCAAGACATTGATCTACATTTGCCACACTCCACCCAGGTGAAGTAAATGGGTACCTGGTAGGAATTTATTCCTTGAAATGCTAGAGCGCCGTATGGCAGCCGTGCTAAGCCAGGGTAATAATTGGGAGCGCCAGGAGTGTCATGTATGACAGATATGAGCGCTATACAAGAACACTATTATTATTATTATTAAAGCATCTTGAAGAAATGCCAGACAGTGCAAATAAAAAGAGAAATTACTTCACTGACTTGTAAATTCAGTTTGGTTCAGTTCTTTTTATTCCACCTTTTAAAATCCAATATACAAAGCATGTAATACAAATATGAATACAAAGTAAATGGTAAGGATTCATCTAAAATCCAAAGATTTGCAGAGTATGGAGAATCATACCCCCAAAATAAAACATTACCTACAACATTACACACTAAACTCATACTAAATGACTGGCATGAAGAGGCATTATTGAGGCACGACAAAAATATAGGGGAGGGCATAGCCAACTGCCGTTATATGTACCTGTGCATACTGATGTGTATGATCGAATACAATTTGTTAGTGAGTACTTTGCATCTCAATATATTTTCGACTGGCCAGGTGTCAACCATCAAGCCAGTTTTGCATTTTTAGAGCCAATTCGGAGGTTAACACACACTCATTTTTTTACAAGGACCACCAAAAAATGGAACAGCCTTTAACAGTGTACCATCAACCAAACCAGTTCTCACTCATTCAAATCTAATGTCCTTTTAGAAGTTTCTGCTTGTACCTATTCATCCACCCTCCACCACCTCCAGTTAAAAATTTGTGGGTACTTAGGAGGATAAGAACAAAAAAAAATCAATATCCATTCAGCTTAGCTGCATGAACTGAATACCATTAGAACTTGATGAAGATTGTATCATGATGAATGTCCTTTCTTTGTTCTTATCTTACCTTTATTGAGATGCAAACCCTGATAATCCTGTTATTCACTCTTTTCTGAAATACATACAATGTATCATCTTATCATGGCAGTAGTGTGAATGAAAGAAGGGTTTCCAATTGATCAATGTTTTCATTATTTTTCCAAGCCGTCATGTAGGCTTTACAATTTTGGAGGAGAGGTGGGGCCTAATAATCCTTTCATTCATTCCTTTCTTTGACCCAGGCCTTTATTGTAGAGCAGTATTGATTTATATAAAAAGGGGATGTGCCAGGTTATCATTTTCAGCTTTTGTCAGTCCACATTATAAAATCAGCAGCGGACACTAGCTTCCTGGAGCTTGGAAACAAAAAGAGGGATTAGCCAGGGCTAGGCCCATCTTGCTGTATTCTTTACCGTTCTGAAGTTGTGATCGAGGCCTTCAATGGAAGTCGATCTTAGAAAATGGAACACCAGAGTTCTTGCCTCACTTGACAATTGTTGGAAGCAATAATTGGAAGGAGGGATTTTAATTAGGACTACCTGGGGGGTGTTTCACAAAGATCCTAAGTTGAACTTATCTCTAAGTTGGACTTAAAAATTATGGAAAGCCATTAGCATCTTTGAAAATATTTTGTAAAAGTTATTTTGAAAGGCATTAATTGTTTATTCAAATCATTCATATTTTCTATCATCAAGGAGATTTCATGTTCTTGATGTGGAATTTATAAAAAAAGTCTAAAATACTTGAATTTCTGCTTTTGAATATATTTCATTTTAAGGCTCCAATGGCTGTCCATAATTTTTAAGTCCAACTTAGTGTTAAGTTCTACTTAGGATCTTTGTGAAACACCCCCAGGACTCTTAATTTGTTGTAATCCTGTTGTAGGCCCAGCAATAGCTTTTGTAGGACAGTAACCGTGAAAGAGGGCAGCAAATCTTTTAATGCACAAGTCTACATGTAATAAATCACCTCACACATTAATTTTCAACAAAAAATTGTAATAATGATTTTTCTAAACTTTTCGAATCTCTTTTCCTTTCTTTTTCTTTCCCTCTCTCTGTTTCTATCTTTCTCTCTCTCTCTCCTCTCTCTCTCTCTCTCTCTCTCTCTCTCTCTTGCTCTCTCTCTCTCTCTCTGTCTCTTTCTTTAATTTCTCTTGCTTGCTGTCTTGATCTATCCAGTATTGTAACAGACGATGGTGACATGCATGGCAAGGAGAGAGACACCAGCTCACTGAATGATGACACTGTCGTAATACTTTCCTTAGAGCAGCTGAAGAAAAGACTAGAAAACATTGAAGAAGAAGCATACTATCCTCTTCTTGGTGATGAGTAAGTTGAATAAAGGAAATACTATGTAATTGAAAATATCTAGGCAATATGGACAACAAGACATTGATGACTTTTTACAAGTTTATACCATGTTTAGATTCAAATAACCTTTTATGGAATAGGGCAATTTCATAAAATTGTCAATATGGACAACAAGGCATTGAGGACTTGTTACAAGTTTATACCATGTTTAGATTCAAATAACCTCTTATGGAATAGAGCAATTTCATAAAATTGGTCCTATATAGCATAGTTACATAATACTTTTGATATATATCCAAAATATGACAAATATTTGACATGAGAGAATAACCTCACACAAAAAAATGTGTACATAATATGTACTGTCAATAGGCTAGAATTTTGTCATACTGTCCTGTACAATATACATAAAAGAGCTGAGAGCGCTCATACCGGTAGTTGGAATACATGTATGATGAAAATGAAATCATTATCAGTATTTGATAGTCCCTTTCTCTCTTTTTTTCCTCATAAGAGGTATGCCACTTTTACCGATGAGGATGTCGGTGTACTGACTGATTTAGTGTCTTAAAAAAGCATGAAAAGTCAGATTTTGAGAGACAAATTTTATAAAATGACTTAATTGTACCATATACATGAACTGATGTAATTTTAAAATCTAGCAGCTAATATATTATGTAGGTGTGAATCATGTGAATCGTGTATTGAAAGATGTCAAATGCATTTTGCCTCCTAGTCCCAATGAAGGTCTCCCAACATCTCAGAGCAGCTCTGATCTTTCCCAGGGAGCCAGCCTTCCTCTTGTCATCAGAGAAAGAGACATTGAGTATCAGGTAGGTATTCACCAGGGGGGTGTTTCACAAAACTTGCCATCAGTGACATATGACAGTTTTTGTTATAAGCTACTAAAATCCTTGCTTCTGATTGGTTATCATAAGTACAAGTTCACTGACATTCCTTTTAACTATGTGTATTAAGGTTAACACACATTCCAATGGGATGTCGATGAACTTGTACTTATGATGGTTTCATGAAATGATGCCCATGGTTTTGATTGCATTTAAAATCTTGAGATACATAACCAAAGTGTTAAGGAGTACATTCTTGCATTCTCTAGCGTTAATAAATCACACACATTTCACACAATTTTCAAGTTGTATATTCAATAGTCAGCTGAGAAAACTGGCTGGCATCAGTACTAAAACCAGAGGTACATTTGGAGTGTAATACATTGCTGTATACTCTATCTGTGATTTATAATGAAATGAATTTAATTTACATAATGCCCTTTCTTTCAGTTCCACCGCGTAGTGTTATTCGACCGTCTGTTGAAGGGTTACCCATTCACAATAGGGAGGATATGGAAAGAGGCCCGGATAGATATACCTACGATGTACAGAGATGAAACCTGGGCAGCATTGCTTGGTGTCGAGGTGAGTGCATGGAATATCAGAGAAATAGAGGATTCAGAATAGACATTATCAATAGACCCCATTTGATACGATGTTTGTGTGTTTCATTTATTTCTCAAGGAATTCCAATTCGATGGCTTATTCTAGACATTAGAAAGATGTACAACTAGATGTACATGCAAGTCTTTAGAGTTTAAAGATGCTCAAGCTTGGGTATATAGAGGGCAGCACACGGACATTGCCATAATCTCCCATCTTGGGAAGATATGGTGAAGAAAGAAAGCACTAAGGTTGGTCTAAATGAGGAGGATGCTTGAGACAAAAATAAGTGGAGCTAGGGATTGTTATCATGGCATGAAATTCAGTAACCCCTCTTTAGAGTGAAAATGTTGACTTTAATAAACAACGACGATGATGATGATCGCCAACATAGAATTTTGTAACATGCGCTGTATAATTTTTTTTTTTTCTTCTTAATTCCAGGGTGATATTCAAGCCAATTATGATGCAATAGACAAGGAGACTCCGACAGCCATGGACAGACAGATAGAGGTGGACATACCAAGATGTCATCAGTACAACGAGCTTCTATCGTCGGTTGTGGCCCATAACAAATTCAAGAGGATACTCAAAGCATGGGTGGTATCTCATCCAGAACTCACATATTGGCAAGGTATTTATCTTAAAACCCATCTGTACTAGTTTGGCCAGGGGGGATTAGACCACCCTGCAAGGTTACTGACAGGTGGTTATCTCATCAATTCAGCTCTCAATTAACATAAGGAAAAGGGGATCATGGGGATCAACAGGCACCGATTATGCATTGTTTGCTATATAGAGGGCGCAAGTAGCTATAAGTAGTGTAGTGGGGCTTTAAGACTGCCAGAAATATTCATCAAATATGTCAAATGATTTACCAAGTTTGAAGGTAAAGATTACAAAATCTCAATAATACAAGAACAAATCAACTTTTTTGAAAATTTGAATACTTTTCAAGAACAACTTTTTAAAATATATTATTTATGAATTTATGATGTAATGCCCTTTGTATATTATACATGTATGCATGGGTATGGAGTTAAAGGAAAATGAGTGATGGTAATGCTTAATATATGTAATATAACTTTGTTCATACTCTTTTCAAAGGTCTTGACTCACTTTGTGCCCCATTCCTGTACCTCAATTTCAGCAATGAAGGTAAAAAATCTTTCTGTGTATTTTATACTATACTTCTTACATTACAGAACACGTTTATTGATAATGGTATCTACAATCATAGTTGTTCTAATGGCCTTTTATGGAAATGAATTATACATGATTGTATAATGATCATTTCTCACTCTGTACTGGTACATGAATGCAATAGTTTCTTGTAATCTTTGATAGCTGTCTTTGTTTTTTTTCCCCACTTTTATTATGTCTCCTAATTTGAGATAAAAGCTGCAAAGCAAACCAGCTTACATGGGAATAAATTCCTCAGCAACAATAGTATGACAATTCATTGCAGTACATGTTACTCTACAATGTACTCTACATGCATGGAATATAGCAAGGTGATATTAGGAAAGTTTTATAAAGATTTTATTGCATTTTCCCTCCAGCTTTAGCCTATGCTTGCCTGAAAGCCTTCATCCCAAAGTATCTCTACAAGTTCTTCATGAAAGACAACTCTCTGGTTATACAAGGTAAGATTCAAGTTGGAATAATCATGGCATTGATTGATACAAGGAGTATGGAAGAAGGATTTTTGAGAATGGCTGTACGGTTAAGTGATTAACATCATGAAGATTGTTTGTTTTACGCTAAAAGGCAGTAGATGATGTATGAAACATTGGCGAAGAAGATTACGATGAAGCTCAACATGATTTAGATTTAATGATCATTTATTAGATATAACAAATTGTAATAGTTCAAACATGGAACAATCTGATAATAACCACAATTCTATCCAGGTCATTTATGGGTAAAATACTCGTTACAAAATCGAAAAGTTTATCTCAAACTACATATGCTTTGCATTTGTGAATGGAGCTACAACTATTACTGACATAAGATCTTTTATGAGCCAGAATATGTAGATGTTTATTTTTATGTTCAGGATCCCTTATGATAAGAAAAAAAATTGGGACTAAGAAAATGATTACAGGCACTACAATTCTGTTCAAGTACAATGTATTGAAGACAACATTAATCGTAACACCTTCTTTTGTCCCCTCTGTTTTGTTCTTTTAGAATACCTTGCCGTGTTTTCTCACATGATTGCATTCCATGATCCCGAGCTGAGTAATCACCTACAGAGTATAGGTTTCATACCAGAGCTCTTTGCTATCCCTTGGTTCCTCACCATGTTCTCACGTAAGTACCTGAAGCTATCAAGTACCGACAGTCCCTATTGATGAATTTAAATAATCAAACAGGTTAAAGGGAGTTTGTTGCAAAATAAATTGGGAAAGAGGGGGAGGTTAGATTTGAACAAAGTCCCATATGAATACTATACTATGATATACAGATTTGTGGCTCAAACTATGCTTTTGTTATTTATTTTGTACTTTTTTCCCCCTCTTTTGTTTGGGGGGGGGGGGGATGGGGAGGGTATTGGCATGTTATGTCAAAAAGAGATTTAATGTTTAATGTTTTCTTTGTGCCTCTGTTGTGTTTCCTATAACTTCCTCTCAAATTAATTCTGCTAGTCAAGGTTACAAATTTGACTCTCTTCTAGCCTTGTTTTGCCATTATATGTTACAAATTTAATTAATATGTGTGATTGCTTTTTCATGAACAGATGTTAGCATCGCAATTCACATCCTTTGCTAACTTATCTGCAAGTTTGGTGTTAAAATCTAATATTTAGATATGATATCGATACCTGTGGTTAAATTATCTGAAATAAAGCATGACCACAATATAGCTCGTGCTCTCTTTTTTTACTCGGAACATTTCAGATTCATTAGATCATTCAATGCCCTGAAGTCAATATCAATTTTCTCCATGTTCCTCCCTCCTCTTTGATACAGATGTGTTTCCTCTCCATAAGATCTTCCACCTATGGGACACCCTCCTGCTGGGTACTTCATCCTTCCCACTGTGTATAGGGGTAGCCATCTTACAGCAGCTCAGGGTGGGCTGCTGTCTCTCTTTACTTACATTTGAGATCATTCAATCAATACCTTGCAGTCAATTTAAGTGTTTCCCCTTGTTACTCCCTCCTCTATGATACAGATGTGTTTCCTCTTCATAAGATCTTCCACCTATGGGACACCCTCCTGCTGGGTACTTCCTCCTTCCCTCTGTGTATAGGGGTAGCCATCTTACAGCAGCTCAGAGTGGGTTTACTCATGGCGGGTTTCAATGAGTGCATTCTACTCTTCTCAGACATGCCAGGTATGTGCTATTGATGGTATCATATATGTTTGGACATGAGAGTTGGAAGCGTCATTCCTGGGGGTTGTTTCACAAATATCCTAAGTTGAACTTATCTCTAAGTTTGACTTTAACAATTATGGAAAGCTGTTAGCATCTATGAAAATATTTTGTAAAAGTTATTTTAAAAGGCATAAAATGTTGATTCAAATAATTCATATTGTCTATTATCAAGGAGATTTCATGTTCTTGATGTGGAATTTATGAAGAGTCTAAAATACTAATTTTTGCTTTTGAACATATTTTAATTTAAGACTACAAGTGGCTCTCCATGATTTTTAAGTCCAACTTAAAGTTAAGTTCGACTTAGGATGTTTGTGAAACACCCCCCTAATGCTCCTATATTACTTATTTGCTTTATCCCATATGTGATTACAGCATTAAATAATTTCAAGGATTTAAATTTCAATTCACTTTATACTAGATACACAAATTTAATATGATTTAACTAAAACTTTCTCCAAGACCACCTTCCCTCCCTCTTATCCCTGACATCTACCCTGTAGAAAACAACCCCCTACAGCAAGCCTCCGTAAGGCATCTGCACTACATCTACTTTAAATACCCGGTAACCTAACACCCTATCATAATTTGCATTTATCGTTGTTGCCGTTTGTTTCTGTTTTATGTAATTCAACAAGTAGTCCAATTAGGTACAAATTGTTTTTAACTTTCTAAGTGTATGACATGATTTAAAGGTACCATTCTATTTTTCAATTACAGAGATTGACATTGAAAAGTGCGTCAGGGAATCCATCCGCCTCTTCTGTAACACTCCGAAGAGCGCCACCTACAGGAAGTATGCGCACCCACCTAAAAAGGTCGATCGGATAACTGCGACCTCTCAGATCAAGCCAGTCTCGTACTACAGCACCGACTCAAATGACATGCCAAGATCAGAACTGGTAAGGATTTGGGCACATTTCTGTATGCCAAGTGTTGCTTTATTATCAAGAAGTCGATAGTTGACATTCCCTCTTACTTTCTACTGAACTCAAGCTACTCATACCGTGCATAATGTGTCATTGGAACTTTAGAGCTTTACCCTGGGTGCACAAATTTACAAAATATAAACAATAAACAGTCACTTTAATTCAGTTTAATGTTGGTATTGCTGGTCAAAAATGTACTGATAGACCCTTCCTCTTGATTTTCACTCACTAATCTATAAATATGAACAAACTTTTATTCCATTGGTTATGTTGTGTTTGAAGTCCTGAAAAGCCCTATATGTATATCAGAAGGATTTGCTGAGGAGAAAGCCCTTCAAATTTCAGCTGAAGATCTCCTTGAACTGTGTGACTTGCAGGAGTCCAGCTGCTCTCATGGTCTAACCAAGAAGAACAATAGAAGCTGTATAGTTCTTGAAACTTATTCTGTTTCGTTATTTATTCAAGCCCCAAGGCAGCTTTCCCTTAGAAGGACCTGAAGGAAGAAGTGGAACCCCAAAGCTCAGCAGAAGATCTTCTAGAGCTATTGACCTGTGTGGGACCAACAATTCTCAGAGTCCAACCAATAACAAAAAAACTGCAGTTGTTGACCTTGACCACCAACTAAACTTGATTCTATTTATTTATTTTTATTTATTTATTTATTTATGCATGTTCACAATTTCACAATTCATTGAAGTTAACATCACATGAAAAATGAATATTATATAACAAATCATTTTCAATTTTCCAATCCAATTGAATTAACTTCACGTGAAAAAGAATATAACATTGTTTTATCAAAGACAAGTTGCAACTAATATACAGTTTGAAGAATGAACACACTAAGGTGATGAAACATAAGCAAATAGAGCTTGAATTCTCATTGTCTTGTTTGTCTTGTTTGTCTTTCAAGTCGAGAGAAGCTCTCTCACAGAAGGACCTGAAAGAAGAGGTGGCACCCCGAATCTCGGCTGAAGATCTCCTGGAGCTGTGTGACCTGCATGGGTCAAACAGTTCTCATAGTCCAACCAAGAAGAACAAGAACAGCAAACCAATCATCCTCATTGTGGACATAAGATCCAGCGATGAGTATCCTTTTGAAAAATAATGCAATTATTTTGGAAGAGTTTCTCCCTTCCAAACTTTGTTGAGTACTACCAGGAACCCTTTTTTTTCCTTCATTGGCCGGTGTAATAAAACATTTGTTTATGAAGGAGTATTAAAACACCAGTTCCAGGTTATTTGAAAGTTGAATTGAATAAATAGAGTCAAAATTAAACGTAACAGTGAAAGTTTCATAAAAATCAGACCGAAAAAATAAGAAAGTTGATGCTGAAAGTAAACTTCAATGTTCCTTAACAAACTTATTTTGTAACAGCTTCTCAAGAGGGCATATACCTAGCAGTGTGAACACTCCTTTCAACTCGGCCTTCTCACCTGAAGGGGACTTGATCCCGTGTCCTGCAGTCACCCAGCTGTACAACCACAGGGGCAGGGTGGTGACGGTGGTTGGGCACAAGGGCAAGAATGCACCCAATGTGAGTATGAATGTCATGTAGGGAAGACATACATGTACATAAAAAATTAAGACAAGAGAGAAAGAGAGAGAACTAAAGAAGGACAGGAAAGGGGTTGTATGATAAAGTAACATAAGAAGAGCAATGTTGAGAAGATGAAAGTTACTAATGCTAGACAAACTAAAAAGTGATGATGTTAAGAGAGAGAGAGAGAGAGAGATGGAGAGAAAAATAACCTCCCAAAAGAACAGGAAAGAGGCTGCATGATATACATGTTAAACCATGTAATATAAAAAAAAAAAGTTGTTGAGAAGATGAAAGGTACGAACATGATACAAACTAAAAAAGTCATTGTGCTTAGAGGGAGAGAGAAAGAGAGAGAGACACACACACAAAGCAATGTAGAGACAGGGACAGACATACAGACCGGCAGAGAGATAGAGAGAAAGAGAGAGTCACAGTACATCTCCTTAACAAGTATTGCATTGTGGAGAATAAAATGCCTGAGCTCTTGTACAAACTAAGCAAATTGTCTATTCGGCTCTGTTTATGCATGTATTTCCCTCCATGTCATAAATTCATATTTTATTATCAACATTCTCTTTAACATTTCAGAAAAATAAGGAACCTATGTTTTTGTAATATTTGAAAAATAAGTATATTTCTAATCATTCATTGTTATGTAATCTTCATGTACATGTATGTATGCATTATCGATGAATGATCCTTTTTTAAAATTTCAGTTTGCAAGAGAACTAGTCAAGCTGGGCTTCAGCAAGGTCTGCGTGATGCATGGTGGGATAGATTGCCTTCGGTCAACTGGACTTCTCACTGTCTCCTCGCCTGACCTTTAACCTTATCTCGCATGTGTGAGCGGTACAAGCAACTCTCTTCAAGGTGAAAACAATGATTCAATGGGGCGAAGCAATAGGCAGACAAGAATATTTTATTTTTAATAATCTTATTGAATCGTAAATTCTTTTTTGTTCTCATAGGCTTTATTAACGGAGCCACCCATTTAACAGGCAGGTTATAATGCACCTCTGACTGGTAAGAAATATTATAAAGCTGACTTTAAAGTGTGTTTTTTATTGGTAAATCACACAAACAAATTTTGCTCTGTATGTTAAGGGTTCCATGTGGCTGTAATAGATTTAAGATATGGGCTGCAAACGTAATATTTCTATAAAGAGATATTGAATGCTTAAATGCACTCTTACTGGTACCGGTAATCAACTTAAAAGGGACTTATGAGTAGACTAGTTGACGCACCAGTACGCGTTCGCAATGAAAAGATTGAAAGATAATCTTGGGTTCTGGTAACAATCCTAAACATATTCTTAGGGACCACACATGCGACATATCACTGCAATGAATGATTCATGAGCAATTTCACGATATGATCACTTATGATTACATCCAATTTCCTGACAGAGCTCCATCAACATCTTCTCCTTTGTTGTTCTGTTATTTTTGTTTTGAAAGTCATTTTATTGTTCATTCAATGCACAAGAAATAATAACAGAATGATAACATATACATAACTTGTCATAATATTACACGATATTGGAGTTACATTACTTTAGTTTAACATGAATGAAATATATGATAACAAATCGCAACTTTCCGTTTTTACATCTCAAACTATTACAAATGCATAACAAAGCTATACGTTTAGTTACTAATCATCACAGAAACATGACAGAATTATAAACAGATGTAATTTGTTACTCATTTATAACAATATAATATGTTGTGCACTGAATGAATAATATTTTCCCCCAAAAGAGCCTCATGCACAGACAGACGGACACACACATGCTCACATACTCAGACACATGCTCACATACTCAGACACACATACAATCTAACCTATCTACCCTTCCCCCTCCATACACAAAACTCCCAAAACTCCACAATTTCCCCCTCTTTTCCCGAAACACAGCAACACCTACACAGTCGTTGAAAGTCCAGTCTCTTCTCTATCCTACTGACCAAATTATATAAAAATGTTTGAGTCTGAGATAGAAGTATTTGCCTCGCCATCCTTAACTATTGAAGTTGTCCCATTTTCTGAAGTGTAGTGTGGAAGTGCCTCTCTCCCCCCACTAATTCCTTTTCTTCTTGTCTATTTTCTATAAAAAAAAAAAAAAAAAATTTCTTGAGGAATTGGGGGTCTATTTTTAGTTAAACTATACTTAAAAATCATATGTTTTGTTAAGAGAATAATGTGATTTAACAACTGTTCTTCTCCTGCATTGCATCCTTTTATCCCGATGTGAATTTCTTGCTAGTGTAGATTTTTTAACGCTGATAAAGCAAAAAGGTCACCGCAGTCCTTCCAAATACTTGCTACCTTCTCACAGGTAAAAAACAGATGTTCATAAGCTAAAGAGGCTAAAGATATATCAAACAATGGTGGTCAAAAAAAAAAAAGTTTTGTGTTGTACAGCCTTGGTCTTCGCAGCCTGTTCTATCTTGTAAACTGTCATCTTTTCTATAATTATAGCGTTTATAGTCGTCTCTTTAATAGCACATCTTTCTGGATGTCAGAACTTTGATGATATGAACTACAAAGTCCACACTGGTCCTTTTTTGGATGATGGAATTTGAGATTGAGCTTCTTGAGCACTGAAAGATAGAAAGAGTAAGATGCTCCATGGGGGTGATTCGCCTTGTACATGCTATACATCATTGCCGCATTGGGGTCAGATGATAAGTACTGGCAATTCGAGCTAGCTCGGCAGTAGTGAGATTCAACTCTCGGGAAGCGTTTCATGTGCTCTCTAACCTCCTTTCTGAGGTTGTCATCAAGATCTTTATTACTTCCTTGTCGACCTCCTCTTTCTTCTGTATCGATCACACCACAAGACTGAATCTTCTCAACGACAGTGCCTACCTGGCTTGTCGTGACGCCGACTGTGTTAAGAAAAAAAGATTTACATACAAGACTTTTATCAAACGGGTTAGCTATTGCCGGAAGAAAATATGACAGCTTTCTAATTTAATCAAGCTGAACATCGATGTGGCAATATCCACTCTCTTTGGCGTTGAAGATGAGATAAATCAAAGTAGGTCTGCCTTATCTTCATGCGTTCCTCTCTTGTGCGAGGGTAGTGCTTTAGACTCATTCTGAACAATGTCCAGTAACCGACATGATGTGATGATTAGGAAAACCAGCTTCATCCAGCAATGTGCAAGCCGTTGCTTGCAAACTGTGGTTTGCGTAATTGCAGGAACAGTCAGCCTTTTCTGATATCTTTCTCATTTTATTTTCCAATGTGTTGACACCAAGTGGTGCATTCATATACCATTCATTTAAATGCAATTTACGTAGACCTGTCTGATTTCCATATATAATCTCTCTAACGACTTTATATAGGCCTACCCTTGCAACTAAAACCCTGCCATCGCACACGGCCACGAGGCTGTTCATGTCATGTTCTCATCGAGATAATGCAATATTCTAAAAATGTACTAAAACACTTGAAAGCCAAACAAGCCATTCATTGAAAAACCCATTCGCATGCACCGGTCAAAAAAAGTACTGACCGTCCACGCACATCCCTAGCAATTCTCCATTTTTTTAAATCGTGAGAATCACCTCTCTTAAACAACAATGTAATGAGACCTTTCTGTTGTGTGTTCGACATTATTCCTGTTTAATTAATAACACCCATTCTAAGCTTCAACAAGGAATGTTTTTATCTGTGACCAAAACACCTGATAGAATTCTGTTCATATATGACTGCTTATAATGGCTGCTATCATGACGCATAATTGTCCATCAGTCCCGCCTATTCCAACTACTCACACAATCAGCTTTAATAGTTGCTTTAATAGGGCTGAATCAGTCGCTGTCATATGATTTGTTAAGAATGATATTTAGCATAATTGATCTTCAACCGCCTCTTCATTCGGGCCAACGTGTATGCCTCCTGCATCGCATCTTTCCATCTGCATGAGTGACCTTGCCGTTCTCCTTTTCTTCCGCTAGTTTGAAAACCAGGTCAATTGGAAGTCTTACATCAGGAAGAATGGCAGAAATCCGGTTGCTTCTGATTTCGTGCAGTTGTAAGCATGTACAACCTTGGGGAGATGGTCTTTCCAAAATGCCTTTTCTGTGAACGTAAGGGTGGGTAGCATTGACAACAGGGTACCATTGAATCGTTCCACCTGCCCATTTCCTTCTGGGTGATAAGGGGTGGTCCTCGAATGCTTGATGTTGGCCAGCATTTCCAGTCGACGGAACAGACGATTTTCAAATTCACCAGCCTGGTCGTGATGCATACGTTGGGGAAAACCAAACTGCAAGATGAAATTGTTGAAGATCTTACCTGCAACAGTTTTTGCCGTCTTATCTCTGGTGGGATACGCCTGGGCCAGCTTTGTGAAGTGATCCATGACGACTAGGATGTACTCGTAACTACCCTTGGATTTCTCCAGATGAAGGAAGTCAATGGATACAAGTTCCAGCGGCTGAGTACTAGTAATGCTTGTTATAGGTGCTCTGATCTGCCTGGCTGGTTTCTTATCCTTCAGACAACTGCAGCTTGATGTAATGAACCTGGTTATGTCACCTTCCATTCCTGGCCAGTGGAACCTTTGTCTCGCCAACTGTGTGACTCTCTCTGGTCCAAGGTAGCCCATGTTGACATGCAGTTCTTGATACACCAGCTGCCTATATTCCCAGTAAGAACCAGTTGATTCCGTATTGCAGTTTTCCGACGTAGGATGCCATGATCATCCACCACAAGTCTGTTCCATTCGTGAAATAGCTTCCAGACCTATTGCCCAAACAAAAAAAGACAGCTTTCTGATTTCATCAAGCTGAACATCGATGTGGCGTAAAATCCACTCTCTTTATCGTTGAAGATCAGATAGATCAAAGTAGGTCTGCCTTATCTTCACGTCAGAGCACTTGAAGTTTCACTGTCTACAGTTACATTCCATGACAAATCCCCAAAAGGAACTGTACGTCAAGAGCAAAAAAACTTGACACCCTTGTCTGTCCATGTTCCCAGTAGCATCTATGAAAACTAGTTCACCAGAATGTTTAATCAATTCATGCACACGTCTCAACAGAGGTTTTCCCCTCAAAAACAAATAAGCAAGATGAGATGCCCCTCTGAGTCGAGGAACATCTTGCTTATTTGTTTTCTCTGCCACTCCCCTATTTCTTTTTGCCTTGACTTGGAAATTTCTGCTCTTAGAAACTTTCTTGGTTTTTGGGGGGGACAAATAATAAATAATAATAATACATAACATTTATTAGGCGCTTAATACTGATGTTTCTAAGCGCACAGAGAAGTCTTCTGGTTGTAAATCAAAAGAGTCTTCAGCATGGCAATGAGCAGAAGTGTACCAGTCAATGTTGCCCATTCTGTTTACATTCACAGTAACAAATGAAACGGGATGCGTTTTTGCGGGTACTTGAGATTTAATAGAGGATGGAATCTTGTTACCCTGAATATCAACATCATGACAATAATAACAACTACGACACAAACTTTCCCAACTGAATATAAAATACGTTTACTTAAACGTTACACTGCTCCAATCTGCCCCAGGGAAGGACCCGGGTATCATTTTCGAATCTTTTGATCAATTTATACAAGTATCTGCACATGAAAAACTGGATGGAGCCGGCATGTCCAATCCATAGTACTCTCTGCATCAGGGCCGTCAACAGACGAGAACTTGTGTACAACCCCCCACAGCCCGTAAAAAGGCGACACTGTTTCCTCATTAAAGAGGGCGAACAGAGTTTACCTTCTCATATGGAATTTAACTGTGAGTACCACAAAGTGGGCTGTACGTATAACACCCCTCTGCATACAAAGAAGACACACGGTTCCACTGCATTAAACAGGCGAACAGATGCCTACTTTACAGGCGGGTACATGTTATAAATAAACAGGATACCTGTTATCATCGGGGCCCTTACCGGAAAACCATAAATATTGAGCTCTGAAAAACTGGATGGAGCCGGCATGTCCAATCCAAAGTACTCTCTGCATCAGGGCCGTCAACAGACGAGAACTTGTGTACAACCCCCCACAGCCCGTAAAAAGGCGACACTGTTTCCTCATTAAAGAGGGCGAACAGAGTTTACCTTCTCATATGGAATTTAACTGTGAGTACCACAAAGTGGGCTATACGTATAACACCCCTCTGCATACAAAGAAGACACACGGTTCCACTGCATTAAACAGGCGA